GCTTTACAAATTAGCAGATGCGTGAATAAAGAAAGAAGAAAAACAATTTTGTGTTATTTGCATATTGTTTATGCAAAAAGCTTTGTTAAAAATTTGTTGTTCTTCTCATTTTTGAATTTTAAAAAAACTTTATGAATTCTTATAGTATTACTGATATTTTATTTTTTTCGGCCATTTCCAACACTAATATAATAGAACGATGTGCGAAATAATATCATTTATTATAATTATTACAGCGATGTGCGAAATGTACATATTAATATCAAGAATTGAAAGATAGGATTAAGGAAGAATGCTATAATGAATTTGCTATACAGTGAAAAGATGTCGTTCAGTAGTTAAATACCACGAGTGTGATTTAATTGCGTTGAATTGAGTTGTGTTGAGTTGGGTTGAGTTAAGTTGTAGACGAGATACCACAGACTATAGAAGATTTATTCCAAGAAAACCTTTGGTTTAATACAATAGGGTTTATATGTGATTGAAAATGAGAGTGGTTTACATCAAACATTCCGAGCATCTAAGAGGATATACATCAATATACCGTGGTTTACAGTAAAAGTAAAAGAATTGTAATAAGATCAAATGAAAAGATTAGCATGTGAATTGAATAGATATTCTAAGTGATTGCTAGAAAACGCATTTCCTATATAACAGGAATACAAAGATATGAGCTTAGAAAAAAACAGAAAAACATGGGAATTTGACGGGAAATAAATCTAAGGAATGTAAAATCAGTTAATGATTCATAATATTGGTAACATCTATTTACAATAAAAAATTTATTTGATTATTTATTTGTTTGGAATTTGGTGGAAGTTTCGCGATATAGGAATTCACGACAAATGCAAAGGGCGTATTGTGGAAACTGACTCTGATGGTAGCATTCCTTATCGTTTATTTAAGGAATGTGTAAAGAGATTTTTTTACAATCAGACATATAAGATCTTCACAAATTGACAGTATTCTCACAGTTACAAGAAAAATTTACAAATAAAAATGCCGGATGTATGGAAGTTAGGAAAAAAAAGGATTTTTTAGACAATTGGAAGATTAAATAGTTGAATCACGATTTTAAGCATGGGAAAGTTCTTATTGCCGTTGAGTAGATTTGAGGGAGAATGAATTGACGGTGTGGTTAGAACAAGATGTTGGACGGATGAAACTGCGAGAGAGATACGGTTAACCAGTTGATGATCCAATTGTTTATTGTCTTACCCAAGCAATTGGGTAATTAAACCAATTATAACGCAAGTTATAAACAACGGATTAATGAAAAATTTTATGTATACATAACCAATAATAAAACAGGGAATAGAGACGGTAATTGCCAATTAAACAAAACCAAGTTGAAAGAAAATGTTACAACACTATCTCAAAAAACCCAAAGAAGATAACCTACCAAAACACCCCAAAAATCACAACTCAACATCAAAACAAGCAATATAAAAATACACAGTTATCTGATTATCTGATTACACCAATACGTGATACGTATAATTAAAATATTTCTCATGCTTAGTTTCTTTTGGTATATAAAAAAGAGGATTAGAATGCGGCTAAATCAAGATAGTAACATGAAAAAATTATCGAAGGAATTTTCGACTAGCAAGCTGACTAAGCAGCAATTATTCGAAGAATTTATTTTTTTGTTGTTCGCTATTTGCGACACTTATTATTATATTAAATATAGAATTAGGAATGATTTTTGTATTCGTACCATTAATTACTGGAATAAGCTATCGGAAAGTGCACCATTTATCGGAAAAGACCGAAAATATAAAAAAATGTGGCATTAATATGGCAAGTATTAATTAAAGAGAATTCATAAAACATTTCAAAAATTCAAAAAAACAAGGTATAAAAAGTTTTTAACAATGTTTTCTATATTAACAATATGTAAATCACGCAAAATTTTTCTTCTTTCTTTATTCACGCATCTGTTAGCTAATTTGTAAAACCATCTTATTTGCACATCAAAAAAAAAAAGAACAACTATGAGAAATTTTTATGTAATTTTTGATCTACCAATGCTTTTCAGATGAACCCAATTCAGATTGGCAATGTATAACTCCCAAACGGGATTTTTATTTTTGGAAAACTAACGACTGGCTTTCGCCTATAATCCCTTCTTTATTGTTGACTATTCGCCTTAACCCACATTCGCTTTTAATTTGAATCTATTAAATAAATCTATCACTTTCATTTATTATCGTAAATTGTAGTTTTAATAAATATTTTTATTCACTGTCGCATGTAAAAATTCAATTCTTTTTCGGACACCAACTGTCGCGAAATACGATGTTTCTATTATTTCAAATTTATTATTTCAAAATAGTGACCCCGATCCAAATAAAGCCCTTCATTTATTCATTAATTCCATTTCTTCAATAAAAATAGAGGACAATTTATAAGTATATAATGGATATCCTTCGCTGATTAGGGCACGTTCTCTGTCGTCCACCATAAGAGTTGATGCATATTTCGTTATTTGCTAAACCGTATGATGGGTGGCGTCAAAAGCAAAGGGGGCCAGTCAAGGCCTGGACTCATACGATCAGGAAAGATTTTGAACGTATAGATGGACCGGCAATATATGGACTTGGACGATGGAAAAAGGAATGGCTTCTGTTACTGTCGACGATGGCATCAGATTGTTGGGAAAAGATTTGAATGAAGGGGGAATGAATTGAGTGTTCAGAACAAGATGTTGGATAGACGAAACTTCATTTCGAGAAGGATGCGGTTTTCCAACTGTAGGTCTAACGGTTTATTGTCTTACCCAAGCAGGCTAAGGAAATTCTTATTATAACAAGTTATAAATAACGAGTTTAAAATTTATAGAGTTTATATATATAAAACAAAGAAGAAAAAGGAAAAAAGAGACGGAGATTGTCGCACACAAAAACCAAATCGAAAAATAACTTCAAATTCTCAATTTTATATTCATGTATATAGTAGTTTGCAAAAAAAGGCATTTTCAATGGGAATGGCATGCAATGAATGATTAACAATTATGTAAAAACTACAATTATCTGATTATAGCAATAACAAATACGAGGTACGTTACAAGAAATATTTCTCACGCTACATTAGTTTTTTTTGGGTATAAAAAGAGAAATGGAATGCTGCTGAATCACAATAGCAACAAAAACACAATTATCGAAAAAATTATCGAGAGAATTTATGATTAGCAAGCTGACACAGCAATTACCTGAGGAATTTCTTATTTTTTGTTCATAATTCGCGATAGCAGAAACTTTTCGGGCATTCCTTATATACTAAGAGGTCACCAGGAAATTTGGTTAATTAGTATTTATTATAAAGCTTCTTGACACTTTTTAGAGATTTTAGAAAAATGGGAATTGACCTAACGCTTTTTTTTCTTTAAAGGGATATACTCTATAAGACATAAAATGGTCTATTAATGAAATTAGCTTTTTCATCAGTACAGTAATTTAAGCAAAGAAATTACAGTTCATTTCTGCAAGGATAGATTTAATAATTTCATCATTACAGTGATTTCTATAAAATTTTGAGGGAGACAATGGTGGTACATAACCTAATTTCAATGAAGCATGAATGATATTATGATCACTATTAGGAAAAGGTTTTAAATCAACGAGAGAACTGGCCAACATAACGTGGTGTTATGCCTAGTAATGATTTTAACATGTTGCTCTAAATCTATAAAAATGCAAAAGTAAGAATGTCCTCTTTAAATTTGCTATTTTTCACGCATACATTTTCCCAATCTATGTTTATAGAAATATTAAGATCACCAACAATATCATTCATGACCGGCATCAAATAATTTTAATCTAAATAATAGTGTAAAAAACTGACAAATAATCGAAGGCAGTGGAATGATGCTCGCTTGCCACGCGTTAATATTTTAAAAAAACAATAGTATAAAAATTGATCATCTCACGTTCTTATAAAAATTTTATTTTAAACTTGGGTAATTAAACCTCAATATAATATACCGACAATATAAAATAAAATTAGAAACTAAAAGATCAAAAAAAGAAATAAATAGACAAGACAAAAGACAAAAATAAATGAAATGGAATAAGCAAAGAAATAAGGAAATTTTTTAACTGAAACCATATGGTTGAAATTAACCTCTTCTCTACAAATTTTATTTGGTATAATAATGAACATTTTTTTAATAAACTTAAAAAATTTACAAAACAAGTTCTAGTAACATGTTAAACACTAGCAATCACGAGGAAAAATTCACACTCAATCATCGACCCCGGCCGACCTCCCCCCCTTCAAAACAACGAAACTAAACGAAAGAGGAAAAAAGCTGCATTCATCTGCAATTTAGTCTCTCGAAAGCTGCATTTTAGATTTCAATACCTTTGTTGTTAATGAATCTCGCATAAATATTTAATCTAATTAATGGTGTGGTACTGGCCTTTTCTTATATCTCTAGGCTTGTGGGTGCACGGGTTTCCTTCTTCGTTGCCCCCCTGTCTTTGGGTTATTTGTGTACATCCTCTTTTGCTTGCGAAATTGTGGCTTTCACGATATTTTTCAAGTAATTCCTTTAGCTTCTATGCAAAGCATTCAAGGTTTTCATAGCTTTTGTAGGTCATTTAAAAGCTAATTTAGCTAATTTTCCTTAAGCTAATTTTCCATTCGACATGTTATTAGTCCGAAAAAATGCTTAGCACCTTTTTACTTTTATATTTTTTTTTGCTTATCATTGCTGATTAAAGTTTCCTCGTGGATTTGTCGGATCAGACAAATTTTACCAGCGAATTACTTAATTTCAATTTAGAATTATCAATTATTTTGATTATGTCTTATTTGATTTACCAATAATCAGATTTTTTGAAACTACGATTTTATTGAAAAATTGAAATTGTCTTTTTAAAGTGATAAGTCGGTCTGAAATAATTTCTGTTGATGGTTCTTTTTTTTTATAAATTTAATTATAAAATATTGCTTAATTATTTTTTCATGTCATTTATTGTTATGTTAATTGGAAGATGGATGAAAGCGATGGTTTTGCGGCAAAGAAACCAAAATTAGATATTTCGTTTAATGCGGAGTTAAGCTCGAATGATGGCGTTGTTGCAAAAAAACCGAGGCTTAGCGAATGTTCAAATATGCAAATTGTCGATGTTGCAGTGAAGGAAGTAATATATTTATTATATTTATCTGTCATAATAGATAGCTTAAGAGTGAATAGTCTGTGTGCGAATACATACAGGTAAATTCGCGGCTCGCATTAATCGAATTCTTGTTAATCTTTTTATGCGCTATATCTGTGCACCATATTTCTTTATTATTAAGAATGAGAATGTTCCATTACTAATTTCTCTATTTCTTTCAGCCATCTCCAGTTGCCAGGCGTTTACCTTATGGTCCGGATCATTCATTTATTCGTTATGGCAATAAATATCATCTTTTGTTGTGTGTTACTGGATCGGTTGCTACAATTAAATTAAAAGAATTGATCGACCATTTAATCAAACTTTCGCCTTCCGACCGTTTAGTATGTTATGGTTTTATTTTTAAAAATTTTTTTTTATTTCGACTTTTTACAATTTTGAATATTTAGGCTGATGAAAATAATTTTTTTCGACTAAGAAGAAATATTTGAAGAAAAAAGAAAGTTTCGGTAAAAAAATATATAGTGTGGTTTAAAAAATTTTATTTACTTTGTTGCTTGATCATTGATGGTTTGGCTGGTTAATGTCTAGGGTAAGACATTACTAAATTTCTCGGTCTGATGCAATACTAAAAAACATTTGAGCTCACTCCTTTTTTGTCTAAACCTTTATAATGCTTGTTTAACCGTTATAAAATTTTTGATAAAGTCGATGGAAAATTTTTGGAAGAACTAGTTACTATTAAATTCTGGTTTTATTTAATAAATAAATTGTTCATAAAGGATATACGCATCGTCGCTACCGATGCGGCCAGAAGATTTTTCGATGAGAATTCATTGAGCCAGATAGTCTATACTGAAGCAGATGAATGGAATATGTGGCAAAATCGTGGAGATCCTATCCTTCATATTGGTATTTAATGGATTCCATTCATTTTATTTACGAATGTTTAAAATATTTTTAATATATTATATTTAAGTATATTTTTAATATACTTTTGGAATTATTGAAATGGCGAAAAATTTGATAAAAAAACTGAAAGGTGGTATAGTGAAATATAATTTTTAGAGCTTCGCAACTGGGCTGATGCTATGTTAATTGCGCCTTTGGATGCAAATACACTGGCAAAAATTGCCAATGGGCTCTGTGACAACTTGTTAACATGTGTAGTTCGTGCCTGGCATCCCAATAAGCAAATATTTTTTGCTCCTGCCATGAATGCAGCAATGTGGGAAAATCCTATAACTCATCAACATAGGAGAACATTAAGAGATTTTTTTCATTTTAGGGTATATTTTATACTTCATTTTATATTATATTATAGTTTGTTTATTCATAAAATGTATATTTTTGAGTGATATGTATATGTAATATGAGTGATTTAAAATGAATATCTTTTTTGATTTGATGATTCAGAATGTTTTCGAAATATTTAGTAAATTTAAATAATTGTAGGAAATTCCTCCGATCGAGAAACAGTTAATGTGTGGAGATCAGGGGTGTGGTGCAATGGCGACGATACAAATGATTGCTTCGATCGTTGCCAGTGATGTAAAAAATCGTTTTGCAGTTTATTCGGATAATTCAAAGCTGTAAATTGATAAATAGCATATCGAAAATTTTGTCCACTTGATGACTTGTTTCACCATTATTTATGATCTGTATTATTTGGTGTTTTGTTTTTCATTTTCGAGTCTTGTTTTTGTGCTTTCTGTTTCATTTTTCATGCACCACGAAACAATTTTTATGGTTCCATTGGTGGTTTGTAGTTCGTCTTTATCCTGTGGAGCCTGATTAACGAGTAGTAGTGAGAAGAGAGAAACGCATTGATGTTGATTTCAAGAATTTTTTAAGGTTTATAATGTTTGAAACATCCTTGAAATCTCTGAAATGTTTTTCTCTAGAAAAAAATTTCTGTGAACTTTGTCATCTCATTATAAAAAATTAAAATTAATTCCTTTAAGGTTCTTGTGTCGTATGGGATGTCTATATCGCATAGCAGAAATTATACTTCAGTAATTCTTAAGGGGATCATATAAGAAAGAAATGAATTAGATTTATATTTTTATTTCAGTTTAGTTTTAGACAATGTGGGTTTTCGGTTATGGGTCCCTTTTGTGGAATGCCGATTTTCCATATAGTAAAATGATGTCTGGTTCGGTGATCGGATATTCTCGACGCTTTTGGCAATTGAGTCCTGACCATCGCGGTACTCCAGATAAAGTAATTGCATTTCATTTTTGAAGTTATGCTCATTGTTCATGGTACGTCTATTTGCTTTATTAAAAATGAATGTAACTAATCCTATCATTGTTAATAAAGCTGGAAAAAAAGTGGTTCGATTTCACTGCTGAATATTTTTTTTATATTTTGAATGGTTCCGAAAATTACATTCGATTAGGTTTGAAGAGAATGTATAAATGTTGTAAATCATTTGAGTAGTATGATCATAAATTGTTGAATGAAAAACTATTCTTACAGTAAATTTGGAGCTAAGCTAAAATGTTGAAAAATTGTGTTATTTTCATGTGCAGTGTGATAATTCAGTTATACACTAAATAGTCCGATTTCAGCCAGGTCGGGCAGTTACTCTTGTAGCAGATGAAAATGGAACGTGCTGGGGTCGAGCTTTTAAACTTCTTGATGAAAATATTAGACAGACTCTTGATTACCTCAATTATAGAGAAAAAGCTGGATATGAGGTAAACCGAATAATCCAATTTTCTCTTTGTTTCGACTTCTACATTTGATGAAATATTTGGATTTATTGTAAGGTTTAATACAATTCAGTTGGAACTTGCAGTTAAAGAAGATTAAATTTCATCCGGATGATGGTAGTGATCCGTTCAATGTCAACGTTTATCTTGCATCGACGGAACATAATCCATATTACACCGGCCCCTGCAATAATGAAATGATTATCCAGACGGTTTTTTCACAATTTTATTTCGTTATTTCTGAAAGCAGTTATTTAAGTTTGCACTAATTCGAAAGGGATTTTATACGGGTTTAACACGAGTTGAGATCAATTATTACCTTGAAAATTTCATTAACTATAGAAATATCTTCAGCACATCTTTATTCAATAAAACAAATAAATCCCTAAATTTTTTTGGTTTTCTTTGGATTTTTAAATTATTTATGCAATTTTAATGCCTTACTTTAATGATTCGCTTAACTTTTCAATTTTGGCTTCCATGTTTTAAATTATCATTAGATTAGACTTTTGGGGATGTTCAGAATTTTTTTTTGCTCATATTTAATAAAAGTTTTGATTATTTTTTTTGTAGATTTTATCTTCACATGGGCCGAGTGGTTCCAATCTGGAATATGCTTTGAAATTAGCAGCTTTTTTGCATAAAAATGCTCCTCACATTTATGATGAACATTTATTCGAAATAGAGGAAAAGTTGCTTGAACATTGTCGCAAAAATGGCATGACAGAGAAATTTATTAGAGAATTAAGCTATGTTTGAAATTATATAGTGGAAGATACCTAACTTTGTTACTGATAATCGAAGAGAGTAACAACTTCCACTTATTTTTTTTGATTTTCAGTTTTTTCCTGTGATATTACAAATAGTGGATAATTAAAAAGAACGGAATTTTGGAAGGGCAGAAAGAAAAAAGCAAAATTTCCATTTCGACTTAAAACAAATTCGAAGTAAATTGGTCGATGATTTTAGGCCGATGACTTTAATTAACGTATTATGATGCCTTTAACTAAATTATCTGTAGTTTACTTGCATGTTTTGAATATTTTCAGTCATTTATGTTTTAATTTTAATTTTTAATTAATTCTTATCGAGTTTGCACTTCTTATTTTATTTTTTTATATTTCTTTTTTGGTTTATTTCTGTTTTTTTCTTTCATTTTTAGCAATTCACTTATTCACTTATATTTTTTCACTTTTCTAATGATTAAGTAAGTTAAGTTCATTTAAATATTCCTCCATATTTAGAAATTATGTTTGTTTGCTTCTTTTGTTTTGTATATTCATTCATCTAGTAGTTCGAGTCAGTGGTACACTCAATTTTATGCAAATATTTTATATGTAAGACCTATAGATTTGAGATATATGTATATATATATATATATAATGTAAGTCTCTATATCTCATATATCTCTCAAATCTATAGGTGGTTAGGATCATCTGTAACCTGGAGTCCTCTAACAGAGGGATGGAGGTTCTGCTCAGTACTTTGCATTATTTCCATTTTTTAATGATAGACTAATTCATATATATATATATATATATATATATATAGATTTAGCAACGAAATTTTATACAGCAAAATTTTAAGGTAATTGTAAGCCCAGACACGAAAATTGTTCTGTCAAATGAATAAGAAAGTAGAAAATAGAAATATAGAAGAAAATAGAATTATAGGAGCAATTGAATGAAATTAATTATGGAAATATTGAAGAATAGGGTGGGTTTAAGATTTTAGGATGTTTTTTTTTGCAACAGCAGTCATTATTTCTGGTTGGATTCGCTCCACTGGCTAGTAGGAGGCTGTGTGGCATTTTTGTCTTGAGCGTAACGGGTCGAATCCTTTTGTAAGAGCAAACCTGTCATTAAAAAAAACATCTGATTCTCAATACTTCTATCCGTAAATCACTAGCAATTTCTTATTGTAGTAATTGGTAAAGCGAGCCTAATAGGAAATGATCTGGTGATACTGGCGACCCATTTGTATTTCTATCGCCAAAGGACTCTCTAATATATTTGTCTAACCTCACAAGCTAGCGGAGTGAGTCTAACTAGACGTGATGATTGAATCTAGGGGAACGTTAATCTTAGGAAATGGTAATTGCTAAGCTCTGTTGGTCATTTTAGGTAGTATATTATTATGATTTGTTGTTAACCTGTGATAAATGTTGGAATTTAAATAGACAAATAATAAAATAGATAAATAAATAGAAAAATAACAATAAATAATAAAATAGGTAAAATATACAAAACACTTTTCGTTATCAATGCGGAAAATATTTATTATCGCTTATCACCAGTGAATCGTGATAAAGGACGCATATCTGAGAAATATGATTCTGAGATTCAGCAACAGGTAATGTTTTAATTGATAGAATAAATGTCAGAAATTCTATGGAAAAATAAGCTTCATTTGTATATGCGAAACAAATATTACAACAGCAAAGATCTCGTAACTCAACAACAACCGACTGCGAAAATATGTAAAAATGTAGGATTGAGTTATTTTAATAAGAAAGCGAAATGAAACAGCCTCGTAAAATGTCTTATGAATCTAGTGGGACGGGATTGCGAGGTTCAGTTGTACCTGAAGTGAGGAGGTGCATTGCATCTATTTCTGCATTGCCTTTAGCTATTTTTAAACAAAGATCGAAATAATATTATGTACTTTGGTTCGCCACTGACTCACTGGCAAAATAATCGCCCTCGAGAATCAAGGCTTGTGTTCAAATCCACTGAAACAGGAACACCCGCCTAACAGATGAAATCGAAGGAGGATAGAATGGTTCATTGGGTGCTCTTGCTCATTTTGAAGCACCAGTACAGTAATTCTACAAAAATCCGAGTGATGCTGGCGACCTACCTGTGTTTCTGTCGCCAAGGGACTCGCTGGCGTATTATCTAGTCCGATAAGCCAGCGGAGCGAGTCTAACCAGTAATGGTGGGTGATCTTAAAAAAATGAGCTTATTTAAAAGCTTAAAAATGCATCAATTTCGGAATCGTGGGCTTTATCATCCGACTATATCCTTAGAATACATTCATTTCGGTTTTCGATATTCTCCCTTTTCTTAATGCAAGCAAATGGCGCTTCACGTCGTGCTTGGCTATTTTCATATAAACGAAGGTTCCAATACTATCAGTGAAAAGGATGAAAAATTTACCCATTAGTGCCGATTATTGATGAAGATTTTGCAATCTTCTAATATTCTTTTTGTACTGCAAAAATTAAAATATTCAAAAAAACATAAAAAATCCAAAAAATGTTTAAAAAATAAATGAGAAAAAATGAGATCGAAGTGATTTCAGATTTTTTTAATTAATTTTTATTTTGATTGATGGAAATTTGTGAATTTTTAAGAGCAATTCACAAGCATTTTAAACGTTTTTCTTTTGAAAATTGACGTAGAAGCAGAACTTTTCTTGGCGATTCGTTAAGTTTACAAAACTATTTTATATTCTATTGAAGTTTCACCATTCAAACAAGGAAGCTTTTGAAGTTAATTTACGACAGAAATCACTGGTATAGAGAAGAATATAAGTGAAAAGTAAAAGATGTGGCGATTCGGGGTTTTTCCCCTTAAATTACTCGTTTGGTTCGGGGTTTGCGTTTTTCCCCTTAAATTACTCGTTTATACACGTATATAACCGAAGAAGGACAAACTTTGTAAAACACTTGCTCGATCTTCTCACCATTTTTAATATTTTCAATTATTTTTAAGATTTTATAATTTCTTAGTCGTTATTTATTTATTTATTATCAATTAAAATATTTTATTTTATATTTTCTTAAACTTTTAAAAATTTAATAACTCTAATTATTATTTTTATCCAACAACTATATTATTTATAAATTATTTAATAAATGACAACTATGAGGGATTTACTCTTAAAAGAAAACTGAATAACGATTCGTATGGGACCGATTGCTTTGTGTCTCTAACAAAGGATATCAGAAATTCAGCGACAAAATTTTTCAACATTATTTGCAATCGCGTTTTCCAAGTGGCACACTGGTTTTCCGATGCCATATGTTTCATACTCGTTATTACAAAATTATGCGACTTAATGCAAATGCTCATCCCAAAGAAATCTGAGTTACGTGATAAGGGACGATTCAGAAAGCGGAAAATTAGAATGCTGGAAAAATTAAAGTTCCTTCGGTAAGACCGAACCATAAAATGGCATTAGAGACAAAATTTCGACCGACTTTTTTGTCTTTTTTTTTCCTCTGGTGCTGGCGATTGTGGTGTTAATGTCGATAATAACACTGTCGAGAAAGGCTGAAATATTTTATCGATGATCTGCGGCGATGGATTCTTTCAAGCATATATAACATTATAAATGACAAATGTTAAAATACTGAAAAAAGCTAAGTGAGATTGATACGGTTGGCTGAATTTCAATGCCAGAATATTGCAAATTGCGTTGTCGTTTATTATTTATTTTAAAAGTTAATTTATTATCAGATTTTATGAGAATAACGAGTAAATAAATGAGAAACTTCATAGTTTCTCGTGTTTAAAAGAAATTTTAAAACAATATAAGCAAAATGTTAAAAGCTTTATTATCACATTTTGGCTGTTTATATTTGGCCGTAGTAATAAATTTAAATCCATGAATACACTGCCCTTTTGATATTTGGTGAATCGAGATCGGAGTATTCCATTGGCCAGAAGGCTTTCGCCATCCAGTGGTAATATCTGCAAAAAATAAGAATATCTAGACGAAATCTTTGAGGAATTCCTGGTAATTATTGAAACAATAAGACAATAATGGATTACATGGATTATAAACGATAGAAAGAGATGACCAAATTTTGAATTTTTGAATGGTAAATTTTCATTATCATTAATTTTATTATATTATATTGTTCAGCGTGTGGAATAACCAAGTAGTTTATATTGTATAAATATAGTTCCCGCATGAGCCAGAGCCTCTCAAGAGCTGGAGGACTGCACAAAAAATAGTGGAGAATAGCAACGATCTTGTGGGACGTCAGCCAGGCAAACAGACAAGTACTAGTCAATCAGATATGTTGTACAAGCCAGCGAAGCGAGTTTAACCCGTAATGATGAAGACTCTCAAAAAAAAATGATGGGAACAGCACGAATATAAGGAGTTAAAGAATACGTGAACCTGAAAAAGGAACCAGAGTGTGGAAAATGGAGGCCAAAGTAATCGTAATCCCAATGGCGGAAGGTGACCCAAGCTGAAAAGTTAGCTGCAACAGATTCTAGGAACATCAGAGGACTGCTGCTAGGAACAACTGAAATGACGCGCAGAATCCTCAAATTCTCAATTCCAACAAACGAATCGAGAAAAACCCATAGTATTCGCAGCAGATAAATGAGAAGTGAATTTAATCACTTTAGATATATTAGAAATATATTGCCGATTTATTCTGAAAAACATTTACAAAACACTTCTGAAAAACACTTACAATATCTTTTAAAATAACTTGAAACGCTATAATAAGCAAAAAAGATCAACGTAATGCGGATGGATATTAGTCAACGCGGAAAATAATTTTCAGGCTCCTTGGAAACCTTGGAAAACTCTCCAGGAATAGTGAGATGTGGGATCAAGCTAAACGCTGAAGTGGGCCACAAGGCCAGTTATTTTAATTTGGCATAAGCCAATAATTTTTTAGATTGATTAGGCTAGATCTTCGCTAATGGTTAAGAAAAAAAATAAGTGGATATTACTTTGGATTATGGTTTTGTGCAAGATTGTTTTGGCCGAAGCGTTTTGTTTCTTCCCACGAATAAAATCGTTTTGCCTTAAAAAAACCATTTAACGATTTTCAACGTGAGAAATTTTGTGGAAGCTTCAAGTAAAGAAAAATAAAACAATTTTATTTTGTCAAATAACGTTAAAGAATAGAGATTAATTATTTCTTGCCTTTTAATATTTCCTTAGCATGGTTAGTGCCGAATTGGGGCATCTGGAAAACGCCTTACCCTAATCGCTAATGGAGCAAGTCAAACCACCAATATCTACTAGCAAACTACTGGAAGAAAAATATTGGTTAATGTTTGATGGCAACTTGCTTTCATACCCTCTTAGTACCAAATTGATTCTAAAGTTTTTGATTGATTCTAAGCGAAACATTTTGCACGAAGAAACTTTCTTTTTTATGGTCCAATATTGCTAGGCCACTAATTTTTTCTTTGGCTGCTATAGATAGCTAATTTTTAGCGCAGAAACGAAAGAAGATAAGAAAAAACACTTAAAAGCGAAATAATGTTGTAGCCTAATTATTGAAATTTATAAATCTAAATCTAAATGAAACGAGAAAAATGCAGTAGAACGACCTGAGGCGGTAACAGCAATAAATCTGGTCCTTGAACTGGCGATGAATAAGCGACGATATTGGCGAAGATCAAAAAAATGAGAATGCTAAAATGCTTAGGATGCATGCCGATAGAGCCTATCGCAAAACGAGGAATGCTGATCTATTTATTAGTTTTCGGAATTGTTGGCCTTAAATTTCCATTTTGTTTATTAATTTTTAAATATTAAAATGCGAAGCAACGAACCGATTTAATAGAATATTTTACCATTTTTATTCGCTATAAGCATTATTATTATTATTATTATTATTATTATTATCATGTTGATGCATTATTGAGATGAAAATTTTGCAAATCATTTTTTACGCATAATTAAATTTCTCTTTCATTCGATTTATTTCAGTAGACTTAGAAACTTAAATATTGAATAATTTTATAATTTTTGCAAATAATTTTCGATATTTTCTTAGGTCTTTTTTTTTGAAGAGTCCTCACCATTATTGGTTAAACTCGCTCCACCGGTATTGAGCAATGTGCCAGGGAGTCCCTCGGCGATAGAAGTGCAGGTGAGTCGCCAGCACCACTCGGATTTTTGTATAGGTTTACTCTTGCAGGGAATCGAACCTCAGCAGCTGCACTCCCAATTGAAGAACAACCCACTGAGCGATTCCCGTTTTCTCAGATCTCAGATATTGTAATTTCTTGTTTGGAAGTTGGCAACTTGAACAGCGCTGAAGAGATCTGAGAGAGAGTGGGGAAATATTATTCATTCGGGGGTTTTTAAGCATCCATTTTATCCACTTTATTATACAAGCAAAATTCAAAAGCTACAGTATGCAAATATTATAGAGATGTCTATGCCTATAAATTTATTACTTATTATTTGTGAGGAAAATATTCATGGATTATCTTTGAAAAGTGAGCGAAAAAAATTTGTGGAACTATGACTTATATAGATTACTATTTCAATAATTCATTTCATATTACATACACAATTTTTCACAGCTAATAATTCGCCAATCCAATCCATTTTTTTTCAAATATTTTTAACTTTATTAATTAATAATTAATAATTTAAACGAATTGCATTATTTGCGCAAATAAAAAACTTACAAAATTAAAAAATTATTTGTAAATTTACAAAACAACTTTTTGCAGAAACAAAATTTATAGATGCCCAATTTCCAGTGCCTGTTGAGCTTAAATTGGTGGCTGCGAAGTTGACGTTTGGCATAAATATCATTAAGCTGTGGGCATCATGCATTATGATGGATGCTGGCGATGACGGATAATAAAGAGCTGTGGATTTAGTCTACCTGGAAAAAAGAAGCTTCTGTTCCATGGAATCGGATTGAGAAGTGTGGACCTCATTTTTGTGACCACTGGTTCAATCAGTAATCAATAAAGAATTCACATTTAATTAAACTGAATTTCTTTCATGAATCAATAATTATCTGGAAGTAAAATCTAGCAATGAATTAAAATTCTATTTTTGTAAAGAGATTAGTTAGACTTAAGAATGGTTTTTACGACAAAATCAGGATGTGCAATTTGATGTGAAATGGTGAAGGGACTGAGGGAAATATAACGAGGGCTGAAGGAGCATCAAGAGGGGTAGGTTTGCGAAGCAATTAAGAGCATGGCAACTAATGCCAACTGATTGCACCACAGCAAGGCTTTAGGACGTGATAAGGGAGTATTGGTATAGTGCATGGTGTAAAGCGAAATGGCGAAATGGTGAAACGACATTGCTAACACCTTTAAAACTCGCTTAACGATGGCTTATAAAAGCCATTATGATTAAACACCATTATAGTTTTAACAATACAACGAGAAATATTTCAAGTTGAAATGGTTAAATGGTTGAATTGACTGATTATAGGGATTTATTCTGGCTTTCCTTGGCCGTTGAATGAACAGCAAACCTCTCACATAAATGGAAAAAAGCTTCATTATTTTTCATTTTTTTTTAAATTAAATAAAAAAAGATTAAGTGGAATATTTAACTTCGTTGCTGAGAGACTAATGCATCAATGTGTGGTTTCGAAGAAAAATCACGTAAAAATAACGCTGAGGGTTTGTGGATAAGCGTGCCGTATCAATCTCTGACGTAAATTCTAAAATCTCTGATATCATGACAAATCACAATGCCTAATGTTAATGTTCCACAGAAAGGAGAGGGTCCAAAAACCAGACGCAAACAAAGCGAAGGCCATTTGATGCGATTCATGGTTGCGCAAACTTATTTTTTTTATTAATTTCTCGGCACTTTTCCTTAAATTGCATTTTATTTTCATTTCATCATTTCTTTTCATTGTTAATAAATGCAAATCTAAATAAATCCAAAAAACGGATTTGACCGAATACTCGTGGATTGCTAATTAATTAGTTTGCCTGCTAAAACCCGAGCTTAAATTCGGCTTTTAAGCGATAAACTAAATTTCTACTTACTTCCATTCCGTAAAAATCAAAGCCTCACTTGGCTTTCAGTTTTTAAATTTTCAAAATTTTGTGGCGAATGCTTTCAATTCGATTGTCTTCTAATCGAAGACTGACAACCCTATTACCCCCTATGTAGCATAATTGTCATTTTATTCAAATGGCCCCACTGAGCTATTTATCATTTAATCTTTATTTCCTACTATTATTATTAGAATAAAATCCATTTCTTTTCAGATTGTACCATTTCTGGTTAGAGAGTTCTCGTCAGCTAGCTCCACTAGCTTCTCGAACCAGACAAGTCACCAAGGAGGAGTCACTCTTCAATAGAATTAAGGATATTACCACCCACCGAATTTTTGAGGCATGTTTACTACTGTCAAGGACAAACTAAGCATCAGCATCAGCACTACAAAATAAGAATCCATTGATCCATTGTATCAAAACGTTATCAAAACTGTTGATTTTACTTTTATCATTATTATAAATATTATTTAATATTATGATTGCAATTATTATATAATCATTACAATTATTATACTTATTATTTTTACTCCAGTATTGTAATAAAATATTTCTGCCATAATTTTTTTTAGAAAGTTAAAAATTTTAACATCGTTTTTTTTTGCTATTTAAATTGCATTTAATCACCTAAGATTCAGGTTTTGATCTATAATAAGCGTGTCTTATTAATAAACATTAAATAAACATTTCATAGAAATTTCAAAAATCTTTAAAATTATTAAATAACCTCCTACATGCCAGTATTCAGAACAAACAATATGGGAATATGTATCGAAAAATAATTAACAACTTTCATTTTTTATTAATAAATTCAGTTCTTGACATTCACACATAAATCCAAAACCATAATCAAAATCAAAAAACTTCAACCAAAAGAATTCGAGTTTTTTTAAAGGAAAAGATATTATGAAATTTTAATGTCAGAAAATACTCCAAATTTATAAATCAAATAGATTAATATACAAAGTATTGTTAAGACTATTTCGGTAACAAGAGTAACAAGATTATTTTTATATTCAAACCAATAGATTCCCTGCCAAATTCTTAAAAATGGAATTATAACCATATGCAAGTCATTCATTTATAAAACAATCGGCAAAAGCTTCTGCTAACTCATCAGTTATACCTATATTTCCTGTGGAACATGAAGTTTCATTTTCTTGATGTGTTTTTGATAATTCTCTCTTTTCTGATTTTTTAGCGATATAAACTTTCGCCAAGCCACCAGCTTTGCGTAATTTACAAGCCAACTGGAACTATTGAAATATTCCATTGAAAATCAAACTCAATTTGATTGAAGAAAAAATTATGAAAAAAATAGTAATTACGAAAATATACTTTAATATTCTTTATATTTAAAATACTTTATACCTTATATGCTGGTTCAGTTGGAGGCTGAACAACAGGTTTGTAGACATACCGCTGTTTTTCAAATTTTCCTGTTATTTCTGGCAAATCCAATTCATAAGTACGGTCAGAGTTCCATCCAGAAAGATCACCACAAGCAAGAAAAGGAACCAGTACTCTATTCACGCCACTTAAACTGTTCACTTCTTCGTCTTCAAAATATATTAAAATATAATAATATTTTAATAATGATTCCAAGAAACGTGATTCTATAAAAAAGATTAAAAAAGAATAATGAATAATAATGAATAAAATATACCATAACTAGGCGCAAGAAGAGGATTATTCATTGTTGGCTTATAGCCTTCTGGCAAAAAAAAATTTTTGCACACAACAAACGCCTCTAAAATATGCCATTTATATGCGAATTTTCATTAAACAGCCACGAAATATACAACTATAATAAACTACAAACGAGACAAAAATAATTTACCGCAACTGCTTTGTCTGCTACTTCTTGGTTTCGCACAATATACTTCTTTAAAGAAAAAGCGAAGTTGAGCATAAAGCAGTGTTATATTTTTTGCGCGAAAAATCTGAAGAAAGATAGAAGATAGAAAGATATTTAACATAAATCTAAGGTAGGAAAATCATGGAGGAAGAAGTTTACAGACAAACCTTAGCAACGAATGTTCCTGTTTCTTTCAAAATGAAGGTGGAAATACTTACAGCCTATAAATACCATCTTCTATATAAAAAGAGCGAAAAGAATTGAGAATTGATACTGAAAAGATTATTCATAGAGCAAAAATTAAGATATTTAAGTTATTTTTATTTATTTTTAAATAATTAAAATAACTGAATATAATTACCGCGAAAATAAGTTGACTCTGCATGAATTCGTCAAGCGTATGAAGTCCAGTGACTGAAAAACAAAGAAATTAACAAAACAATGAAATAATGAAATTAACATAACAATGAAATTATCAATGTTCCTTTTCAGGCCGAATTGAAGTCACAGCTAAAATTTAAATAAGCTGACTCAAGGGAATAAGAAGAACATAAGAGCCTAAGATTATTCAGTGGAAAATTATGGAGGAAAAACCCTATTCCCATTGAAAAAATTAACATACCATCAGGAGCACCATCACACACAACTAAATCTGCTTTGATGCCATTGAACTGAGAAATAATTGCTTCAGCAGTCGATTTCTTAAAGTCAAAAATCGAAAATTTTTTGCTTGAAACTCATATTTTCTGCATACTTTCAACGATTTTCAAAGAATCAGAAAAGTGAAAATAATTGAAGATTGAAATAAAACCTCAGTAATATCCCCTTGAAGTTGTATAACGCCTGGTAAAGGTGACATTGGTTGCAGATCAACTGCGACTATGCGAACCTGAACTGCAAAATCCAATAAAGTGATATAACAAAATATAAATAAAAAATTAGAAAAATAACCACTTCATCATCTTTTTTATTGTCGTTTATATGAAGACGCCTGGTAAGGACTTGACTCCAACTTCCTGGTGCCGCACAAAGGTCAACAGCTCGCTTCACACCTTAAAAATGTAATTCATAAATATATGGACTTCCCGCACAATACACTTCTCAAATCATACTTCATAAAAATTATTTTCATCTTACCAACTCTGATAATTCTGCATCCTACTTGCCTACATTTCGCTCGAGCATGTTTCACTTCTCGAAGGACGCAGTCAAATCCACATCTATGTTTAAATGGTACCCCCTACTGTGAATATACAACCAAAGGACTCCATTTATATTCGGATAGCTCCACTTCCCCCTCCCTTAGTCCTGGGTGGTTCCATTTATGTCCAGATGGTACCAATTGCAATGAAATTATAAAAGAAAAGGACCACTAAATATATCGAATTCTTCATCGATTTGTAACAATTTGAAAGCACTCCTCGCTCTCCATCCTTCTTCTTTTGCTAAGCGATAATAAATGTCTCGTTTGTCTTTTGAAGTTTTGCCCATTTGTGGTGAATCAAAACAACTGCTAAAAACGATAAAATAAAAAACATATTTCAAATGAACCGAACCCTTTTTTCCCTTTGCGTTATTTTCCCTCTGCTTTGACTGTCCATAATGGCTATGAAAATGCGACTTTTTGGTTCCTTCAAAGTGTTAAAAAAATCCGCTGAGCCACTGGAGTTCTACTTTAATGAAAGATTCACTCACGTGGTACAGTTCAGTAGACAATAAAGGAGACGCCGCCAACCAATGGTTTTTTACAAATTGGAGCTTGAAACCGAATATTTAAAAATTTGTTATGCAATTTAAATTCAAGGAGGATTTCCGAAGAATTTTTCTGCAACTTACTCCACTTTCTAAAATTCCACTGACCCACTTCTTAGAATAACCCCTCCAAATAACTATTCACGAGTAAAGTGACAGAGGCTGCAGCTGCAGCCGCAACCGCAATTTTCATATTCTTATAATTCGGCTCGACTCGAGAGAGATTGAATTGATTTTTTAGTGGTTCTAATCTACTTAGGTATATTTACGGTCGGATTGGTCACATGAATGAACCACTTTGAAGTTTTTCTAGTCGGTGAAAAGATGATTTTTTCAATAAATATAGCTGGAAACTAGGAAATTTTGGGAATTTTTCTAAATATTTGATTTTTAAACTATTTTTAAAATTCGCTTTTTTAAATTCCTCGTTTCCGTTAACGAAGTTTCATCCGAATTAGTCGTTTCATCAGTGCATTCAGTAAAGTTAGTGGAGTACCGCGGAACGTCGGCGTCGCTGGTTAGGGCACTTTCTTCGTCGCGCACCTCGGCAGTTGAAGTCGGTGTTAATTGCTAAACTCTGCGATGGGTGGTGTCCAAAGCGAGGAGGACCAGTCAGAAGCTGCACTTACACAAGGAAGATTTTGGACGTTTGGGGGGCCAGCGATATATGGAGACAGAAAAAGGGATGGCTTATGTTACTGTCAATGATGGCACCAGAAGCCTTGTTGCCAGGAAGCCAGCCTAACCAGCAAGAAGAAGGCTGAGGGCAGTTTGATGAGAATTATTAGAAGGAAAACATGCAACAGTTTTTTTTAATATCTGATTTCCCTACAAATGAGAATCTTTTTTTCGTTTCTTTGCTATTTTAATTGTTATTTTTTTAACTATTTTACCTATTTTTTATTCATTTGCTCCATTTCGTTTAATTATTAGAAGTAATTTTATTTGAGCGATTATTTAGCAGTTCAAGAAATTTTATTAATTCTTATTCTCATATCATTGAAATATTGAATTGTCAAATTGTCTTGTCGTATCGTTATGGTCAGCGAAATTAACGAAATCAGCGGATTGCTGTCGCCTTTAGAAAAAGAATATTACGAAGAATATTAAATTTTATTTCTTAATTTTTAGATTTATTCAGTTTCATTACCAAAATTATTGTAATAATTCATTTTTTCTTTCGAAATGTATTTGTTAATAATTAATTTATTATAGAAAAAATTTAACGAAATGACGACAACATTAGACAATGTGCACAAGAAATTATTGGACGAATGGAAAAAAGAAGCGAAAAGGGATTTGAATGCAGTCGGAGCGATTTTAAAAACGGCTAAAGTATGCATTTCAAGAAGCCCGTAGTCTAAAGGATTCTAAATTAGCTAGTTTATCTGCTTTTTTCGGCTTCAACTTTAACATTTTAATTCAGCTATCGACTTCGATTTTTTGATCTATTAATTGCATGGGTCAAAAAGTTGATTTTTATTTGCATAAATATGGTTTGTCTCTGATCTGTAGGTGAACATATGTGATCTATATGCTTGAAAGCTAGTGATAAGTGGTAAGCTCTAATAGAAGTGGTAAATATTTGTTTTTCATCTTTATTGCCCTGGAATGGACAGCTGAGTAATTTGTAATTCAAAATATATATAAAATTATAAAATTTGGCTTATAAATGTCAGATTTTATCAGGTATAATGAAAAGTGATTTCGATATAAAAAAAGAATTTATTAAAGCTTCAAATAGGTTGAAAAACTTGGGTGATTTAAAAATATTTAGCACTACATTGAGTTCCACTTTGTGGTGTGCTGTGACATTTAAGGTCAACAGTTAACGATTTGCAAGCTTTGTGATAAATTATTTCTTGTTCGTCATGCACCATGCTTTATTTTCTCATTATTTTCATCTGAATTAAAGTTTAAAATCAGTTTGTCGAAATCATGGGTTGGAAAGGAAAGGAGAAATGTTCCGAAAAAGAAGGAATAAAGGACTGTATAGATTGTTTTAAGCTTGGAAAAATCTTGGCTATATACTCATTATTGCAATTGGTGAACCGTTTAGGATTTAAAGGATTCCTGAAGAAGAATGAGGAGAGAACAGTGGAAATAATTGATACTTAGATATGACATTTTTGACATTTTTCGATGATGCCTAAAAATTTTGCAGTTTTTCCAACCATTTCTATCCAGTCTACAATGTTGATCATGGCAAGGGTCGATTTCTTATTTAAAAACTGAGAAGCCAGAAGATAATTAATTTTTTAGTCAATTTTTGCCGTGTTTTGTTCTAAAAACTAACCAATGAGTAAAATAAAATATGCTTATGTGTTGTTAATATGTTTACGTAATTTTGCTTAATATTTTTTTATCGTTATCGTTGAAACAAGTCTGTGGGAATGATAATGATTGGCTTTTTAACCTTTCATTACTTTTTAAGATAATTAATTTCTATTGTTTGCTTGTTAAATTTGTTTGTGTGTTATTGGTTGGATTCAGTTATAAAATTAACTTTAATTGGGTGGTAAAGGTGACAGATCGTTTTTAGATATTAGTGGTCATGCTAGTTCCTTATTGCATAAATTTTAATATTTCTTTCTCATAGAAAATCTGCGGTTTTTAAAGATTTGAGGATTATTTTTTATTTTTTTAGAATGTGATTTGTCCGTAACGTGTGTGTTGCTTTAATCCTCGGCTACGGGCTTGTTCAATGAAATTATTTGACAGCGTTTCTTTGCACGATTTCTAGTAACTGAAGCATTGGCATTAATTGATACTAGCGTATAAGACATAAGGATGTAAGGAAGCTGAGTAATTATTCTTAATTAATTAGTTAAATAAAGTGATTAATCTTTTCATACCTTCCCGAATGGTTGTTATCAGGCAGGACATTAGCTGCTTTTAAGTTATTTATTTTCATTTGAAAAGAAATTTGTTGTATGGATGGAAAGAAACGGAGAATTTAATGAAAAAATTATTTGAAAAAATAAGCGTAATATATGACATGAATTAATTAACTATGAATTGATCATGCATAGCTCCAAGCGATGTATGAAAATCTGATAAGATTGTGGAAGAAGCCATTGGTTAGAGATATGGAAGCAATCGGCAAAACGCTTATGGAAATCAAGGTATAAAAATAAATATAAAAATAAAATAAATAAAATTCTTAATTTATCTATTATTCATTCTCGTGTGTTTTGCCGATATTCTTGTTTAACTTAAGAAAAATAAATGCAACATTTGGGAGTTTGATTTTTTTGAATCTTCAAAATCTCTGAACTTATGAAAATTCGGAGCTTTTTATGTTATTCTTTAAAACGTGGGTTCTAAGGGAGTTTTATGTTCTAAATCGAAAGTTTTAGGCTTTTTGATCCAAATAATTATTTGAAATTAATTTTGTAATAATGTCGCTATAACTTTTGGCATGATGATAACATATGTGATTGTTATGCTGGTTCCGTGAAAACATTTCAAAAAATATGATTTTAATTTTATTTTTTATTTTATGCATTAAGCAACTTATATTAAAGTTAGGTTATTGTGGTGCTATTGATTGTCTTTTATCAGTGGTTTTATTTTCAGGAGGGACTTAATCATTTGGACGGAATGAAGACATTACAAGAAGATGCACTTTTCTCTATTCATCGTAAGTTTCTTTTTTGTTATTGGCTATGATTTCCAGAAAGACTTTTTTATATTAATTTTTTTTGCAACATACATCCTTCCTGTTAGAATCCGTATTAATTTTCATTCGATTCAAAAATTAAAAACTCACTCAAAATTTGTTTTAGGCGATGTTTACGAAATTGATGCTCTTTATGCGATTCTACGATGTGACCTGGATGCATTTAATGAAGCAAATACTATTACTCTCAGTTTTTATGAAAACTGCGGGTAAATTTTTAGTTGTCTTTCTATTATTTTATTTTATTTTTATGATATTTTTATTGAAAGTTTTTAATTTTTAACAAAATTCAAAAAGTTCATAAAGACCAATATTCATAAAAATTAAATTAAAAATTTTTGAAATTTAAAATTTAATTTTTAAAATAAAATTTTTCTCATTTTAGAAACGGGCAAGAATTTCCGAATAAATATCTCATGATCGGCCTTCATTTAATGTATCTTTTGGCTACAAATCGTTTGGCTGAATTTCATATGGTTTTTATTTCATATTATTTTTTGTAACCTTGAATGTTTGTCATAAAGAAGTGAACTAAAAAATAAGTCGTTTTTTTTATTATGATGGTCAACCAACAAATTACAGTTGCTTGAACAAGTTGATCAGTCCGTGCAACAGCAGAATCCATATATATCAACGCCAGTTAAGTTAGAGCAGTCACTTATGGAAGGTGTTTATAATAAAGTAAGTTTTTCTTATTCATATATTTGCATAGTTAAATATATTTGAAAATTCTTTATATGTATTTTATTTTGTAACATAAACTGCTTCATATAATTGCAGGTCATTCTTACGGAAAAAACTATTCCAAGTCCTTATTATTCAATATTTATACGAATTTTAATGGATACCATTCGGTGAATTTAACAGTTATTGAATTGTTTCAATATTCTTTAAATATTAATATAAATATCTCATATATAATATAATATAATATAAGATAATCATTTCAGTGGGGAGATTGCTGCTTGCATTGAATCTTCTTTCACGCAAGTACCAATTAAAGATGCAACTCAATTGCTTCTTTTTTCGAATCAGTCGGAGGTGCATCCATTCGCAAAAAAAGTAATTATTTTATGCGCTCATTTATGTTTTTTTATTTTATTACCGAAAATTATTTAAAAAAAGGAGCTATCAGAAGCTTCTGAAAAGACAGAATTATAATTGAATTAAACTGGCTTGTTAATGCTAATTATTTTTTAAAAATCTCTAAACTTCAGCGCGGTTGGAAGTTTGAAAAAGATGCTTATGTATTTGATGTTGAGAAACCAGTTGAAGTTAGTTCCTTCCAGACATTTTTTAGTCATTTTTTTGATCATTTTATATCATTCAATAGATTGTTTATTTTATTTTCTTTCAGCCATTACCAAAGGCACATTTGGATACAATTCGTATTGCAAATCAGGCCTTGTTTTACGCGAAGCAACTCGAAATGATTGTTTGATGTGGTATATTTACTTCAATTTTCGTTTTTATCTTTAAAATTTTTTTTAAAAATATTCAAAAATTTATTTGCGTTCCAAATGCATTAAAAATTTGTATGTTAATGTATTGTTTTGTATAATTTATTTTAATAAGTTGCCACTATTTTTAGAAATTACCTTATTATTGTTACGTATGCTACTTAAATTCACAAATTCACAAAACCAAAAATAGAATCTATTCTTAGGTTTGGGGCTTAGCCCATATTCTTTTTGGTTAATATAAATGAAAATTCCAAAAGTCAAAAATTTTATTACACATTTTATCAAATTTTATTAAAGTTGCCAACCAAAACAAAATCATTTTTCATTTCTTAGATCATTGTTGATTCAACAATGTAAAAGACGAAGTAATTTTTCATGGTTATTTTATGGTCGACAGCAATTAATTATTTTTAATGATTTGAATAACTGATCAAACTATTCAAAAAAAAAGAAATAGGGAGATGAATTGGTTGAATCCGTAATTATATCAATAATTCTCTGTAGTTTCAAATTTCTGGTAGACATAAAATATCTAAAGGCCACAGTTCCTTAATGAGCAAACGTGAATATTATTTTTGACAAAGTGTTGACCATCGAATGATGACAATGTTAGATAAACCGTTTTCTTTGGCTCAACCATTGTGAAACCATTGTCGGAAAATATGCCAGTTGCATTCGGTGAAAAATCGAGCCATACTAGTGGTGAAATTGCATTCGTCTCAAGTTCAATTCGATAATTCATTCTATCAATTTGAATGAAATCATTGATAACAACGGTGCCCAATAGCGACATATCAACCTAAACGATGAGTAATGGTGGTCTTTGAATGATGAGATCTATGAAAATCGACTTATATTCCTTAGGTAAGCTTTGTTGTATTAAAGAGTTTGATAAAAAACAAAGATAAATATTTGAATATATTATTATTAAAAAAACTTCATAAAGATGGTTTGGCAGCAAAATGGCGTCGTATCCTATTTGAACATTGTCAGGTGTTCTTAGCTGAGCTCTAACCACATATCCATTGTAAGTAGATTGCGTTAAACTAAAATTGGAGTAGCAGTGTAATGTTCCGAAGAGAATCTGTTAAAACTATTCTAATGCAATTGAGAATATCTTCAAAATATCTTGGCCCACTGAAATGGCTAAAGCTAGGCTAATTAATCATTTAAATGGTAAAAACTTTCTTTTCTTCAATCGGAATATGGCCAAGATAAATTTCTTGCGAGGATAACGGCTCCACTATAAGCGTCTTCGTAACATTAAAATTTGGTTGAAAGCCATGAGTGAAGGAAAAAAATTCAACATTTACTATATGATTGAATAAGCGTTGTTCGCTATCTGATACGATGAATAAATGTAGATGAAAATCGTTGTCGAGATGCTGCAATCATCATTTAATAAAAATAAAATAATAAAAATAAAACAAAAATAACAAAGAAAAATACAAATACTGATAAGTAAAACTGGGTTTATGTACGAACTTGGACATTGCTCATTTTGTTAAGGTTCTTTCTTTCTATTTGTATGATGAGAAAACTTTATTATTAGATATACGAAATACGGATGTCCGCATCATCCACTCAGATTTCTTTATTATATTTTCACTTACGAGCAGAAGCGAAAACAAGGATGATCGATATGATAAGCAACAATCAATCGGCTATTGTGCACCTAATAACATCAATGGGGCTATATTTATAGAATTGACGGAAATTGAAATTGCTAATCACCATTGATAAAATAGTTTCGTTAAAAAAACGCCTCGCAAAATAATGCACTGGCTTCCAATTTAAATTAAAGTCGATGCTGGACCATGATGCACCTGACCATATATCGTTTAACTGCCAGATCATTGCACACATTGTATTACCAAGGCCTCGTGAATCGTAACGACCACGCCATCTGCAATGTTGATAATAATAATAAAAGAAATGAATTCACTAAAAAAATATTCGTAAGCACGAAACACATTTTAAACAATTGAATGAAGGAAGCCCAACTTCCAAGAATACGCACTATTTAGGCTTCCAATGACTGATTACTAAGCTGAGACCGTTCCTCTAAAGAGTGACCACTTGGTGGCTAAATGTGTCTTCAGCAACAACCATTCAGATTTCATTTTTAGTGATAGATTCACTTCTGCCATGTAAAAGGAATGGAATCCATGCTAAACCGAAGCAAATCGATCACCGCGCCATCTATTATACATACTGGGGTTAATAGTTTCTTTATCAGTCATACATTTAATTATAAAGAGATAAAAGTGCTTACATTAAATAATGTTCAGTTTGCACTTGAACGGCTACTGCTTGGTGCATTTGAATAAAATATACGAGACGATCCATTTTATCGACTTCATTTAATGCTTGGCATCGACTGGCTTGATTCGAAAATGTATCTCTCCTGCATTTCGCTGGTGTCTGTTAATTTAGACAAAATAATGTGAGAGAAAGGAGAATGCGTCCATTTAGATACTCCCAGTTGCAAAAGAAATATAAATATCATGAAATATTAATTATACCGGGAAATGTGACATGGTCATGTATAGCAATGCTAAAAAACCTCCAGGATGATGTTGACGATCGGTCATGCTTTTGCTGCTATAGTACCATTCCTTCTCTTTTATCCAGCGCAACATTGTTTTCCTGAGAAGAAAGCACTTTAAAGCACATAACTTCAAAATTATCTATGGAATGAGAAATATATGATTTCCATACAAAAACTTATAACGGTGGCCTAATGGTAGGAAAGTATTCAGAGATATTTTGTTTTCTTGGATTTATTTTTCATTCTGAAATGCGAACCTGCTTGGCAGAGATTGAACTCCATATTCAGTGGCACATCGAGGTGTTTTATAAGAAGAATCTTTCCAAAGATCGGAATCTTCATTATAAAAGTGAATATCACCAAAGCGCTCGTCATTTGGGAAACCGAAAATGCCACCAGCACTAAATTTATTTTTTGCAATTATCCGTGCCAATTTTCAAATCATATTTAATTTCTGGAAATGAAAACATACATATCAGTTTCGATTCCATTCGACGGACTCGAATAAAGGAATCGCCTAGAATCATCGATTTTGTCGATCACCGCTTTTATTGCTTCTTTATTTAATAAAATATAATCTTCTTTCTAAAAATACAAACCTACAAATAAATTATTCGAACAAAAAAGCAATATATTCAAATAAAATTTTAAGCCTTAAGTACCTAAAAGTAATATAATAAACTACATTGACTAATCAGTAAAAACCTGCTTATCCAATGGATAGCCGTAACGTATAAACCAACCACTGCTCAATCCTAGTTCATTTTCATTGTTTCCAGCCCAAACCAAGATCGAAGCGTGATGTCGCAATCTATAGACCTTAAAAAAACTTGAGATATAAGAAAAAAACTTGAGTGTAAAAAGGGGGAAAATGGGGGATTTGATAAGATTTGGAAAGATATAATTACGATGCGTTAATTACGATGCGTTAAAATTGTTAAATCAGTGGCCAAAAAGTTTTTTTCCACGGGCCTCTTAGATGATACCATAAAAATCCATGGATCCTTAGTAATATCCTCAAATTTTAGAATTTTAAAACATTAATTAAAATTTTCAATCCAACAGTAACATAACATTAAATAATAGGCAAAACTAGGCAAAATTTGTTACTATTCAAATATATGTATAACTTGAATTAGGTGCATAGGTATGCTCTAAGAGTCGCCATGGACCCAGGGAGACCATTAGTTCGATGAGCATTAAATAGTTCAAGAAAAGTGATAAAAACCTGCTGATAAACTTCAAGTCTAACATTCTTTAAAAACTTTTCATCAGTAGGATACATTGCACATGCAAACATCATGTCTTGCCAAATTAAAATTCCCTGAAAATTCCTTTATAGGATTTTAAATTTACCTTTGAATTGCTGGTTGATTGAAAATTACTTAACCGTAATTAATAACTGAATTTAATGGAGGAAAATTTCACGAGGAATTCTGCACCTGAATTAGCATCTATCACTCGTTTTCTCCTAACATCACTCACCACATCTGATTTGACTGCCACCACTAGCTGTTAAGATGTGCTCTCGTCACTAGACAATTAAATAAGAATAGAAGAGCGGATAGTCTTAAGGATTGATTACTCTGGCCAAGGAAAGGAATTGAATCCAAGAGAGTCTGAACTCAGTCGAAGCATTATACAACTAGACATATCTGTGATGGAACAATTAAGAAATCAAACTGTTATGAAAGTAAAAGATTTTCAACCAAATGTATTTCTCTTTAATAATGCAGCTTATTATTTCTCGCTAATTAGCACTTTTGGCTCGGATCAAACAAATTGTGAGAAAGTATTACTTGGTGATATAGGTATAATGGATGGCTATCACCACCCTCACTTGGTGATATAAATATAGTGAATGGCCATCACCACTCGCATTTTTGAAAGACATATTTACTTCTGTCGAAAAACAGAATCTCAACACTACAGGGCTTCCAAATGAGAGCATAACTCAATGAGCCACTCTATCCTTTTACTTTAATCAACCTATAATCAACCTTTTCATCAGCGAGCTCATAAAATTCATCGCTTTCGTAAAAACCACCACCCCATACTCGCAAAACATTCATATTTGCTTGTTTCGTGGATTCCATGAGGAATTCAAGTCGTTTTGAATGATTCCTTGACGGAAAAGGTGATAAAGGAATCCAGTTTGATCCTTAATAATATTTATGTTATTGTGGAAACGCTTAAAATCTAGCAGCTCTTTTCAATTATGTACGGTGTCGAATTTGGAACCGGCTCTTCATCATCCTCATCCTCACCGCTATTAATTTTTTTGAAGGAGAAATTTTTTTGGAGAAAAGTAAGAATCATAAGGAATAGGATAAGGTGAAGGAGTGGCACAAAGCACTTATGGTACTTATTGTTTGATATTAAATCAACAAATGACTAACAATATAGTTTTACCATAATTTTGAATCTAATCTAATTCGAATAGTAGTGAAAAAATTTTTAATTTCATCTGGAAGAATTCATGGAAGTTTTCGAAATTTAAATCTATTAAATTTGAAAAAAGGAAACCTTTCAAATAAGTTGGAACACCGTTTATCTTAAAATAAAAGTCTCTTCCAAGTTTCTCGTCACCTTTAACATAGTCTTCAATTAGTTCAATCCATCGAAATCCTATTTTCAAACTCTTCGTCGTTATTTTTGTTCCTGAAAATTTGCAAATTTACAAACTCATATATTTTACATGATAATGATAATGCAAATCAATCGCAGCAATTAATAGGTGCAAATCGCGATACAGTGCTTCATCGTTTAAAAGAATTATTAAAGTGCCCAAAAAGGAAACCTTCACAGTATGCTTCAACAGTCAATTCATATAATTGCTGCTTTCCGCGTCCATTCGGCCACCATAATTCAACAGAAGAACTATTTACCAGAATCTTTGATTGTATGTGGTTGATTTCATTGGCTTGCACCGTTGCATCGACCGTCTTCTCAATTTTTAGTTCGGGAAAGGCGAATTGCACTTTAACGTTATTCGTGCTAATTGCACTATATGCAAAGAGGTCTAGCGAAACGCTGAAATGACCTGAACAAACAATTTTAGCTCAATAGCTTCTCACAATAAAAAAAGATGACATAGTGAAATAAATTCCAATGATTTAAAGCAAAATATACCTTCGATTTGTTTAACATTTGCACTGAAACGATCAATAAACAAAGTATCGAAACCCTCAATTGATAATGGTTGCCAAATTCCAACAGTTGGAAACGATGGTCCCCAATCCCAGCTAAAACTCGCCTGGGCCTTCCTATAAATGAAGTTGACCATTTTTTCAAAGTAATTAAAGTACTTTTTAAAATTAAAAATGACCTGAAGAAACAATTTTATCTCAATAGATTCGCATAAAATTGAAATGCCTTGAAGTAGTTTTATATTGGTAAGCCAAAAAGCCGAAGGTAAAAATTTTCTAGTATAAGGAACCATAGAGCCATCGAATGATCAAAATGTTATTGCTTAAAAGAGTCGACTTACCTGATCATATTGACATGGCAATCACCATGGTATACTTCTGGAGGACACTCTGGTGATACCACATGATGGTTCCTTTTCTGCAAACATTTATGATAGTAGTTTAAACCACTTCTACGACGAAATTTCATTCCGTTCCTATATTTAAAATGTACTATCTCTCTTTAGATAGTCATCTAAACCGCACCGAAGGCATGGAAGGAATGGAACAATTTCCCAGCAGGAGTAAACGCCGTCTTTCAAAAGCCCGATGACGCTGGTAACTCACCTGCATCGCCAAATTACTTCCTGGCAAAATCTGTCCAGTTCGACAGATTCGCCAGCGAAACAATTAAAAATATTGAAAGAGAAAAAACCATGTATTGATGATGAAGAGCAGAAGCTCGCTTCACCGGTGACACGAAATATATTTTAATTTTATTCGTTCCAACTTTCCACTCTTTCAATTTAACAATATGAGAAACAAACTGATTGTTGGTTTCTAATATTACTTGTTCATTGAAATATACGGTAGCGAATGTGTCAAGTCCTCGGACATTCAAAATGACAGCTTTCAGCTGAAAATTGAAATTAACCGTAATTACATTGAAATCCCTTTGATTTGTTATAAAATGCATGTAAATTTAAATTAAATTATTGAAATCGAATAAAAAATTTTATTAGTTTAATTAAAATAAACCTTCTTCAATTCTTCAGTCATAACAATTGCAGTCTCGTAGTACCAATCAGTTCTTGAAATCCACTTCAGTTTTTGGTCATTTTCACCAAATAAAGGCTCGGGTATAAAATTATTATTGAACAAATCAGTATATATATCACCAGGCACTAATGCTTCACCACTTATAGCATTATTCGCTGAACGAAATCGCCAATGCGCATTCGACAGATCCAAGTAATAACCATTTTCTGTTGTAGGATATTTTTTCGAAAAAAAGAATATTCCCATGACGGAAAACAAAATAACCATATAAATGCGAAAGTACCTATAAATTATCAGCCATGAATTAAATTTGAATGGAAAATAAATGAATAAATTTCTAAATAAAAAATAATCAAACTATGGATGAATTCTGATGAATTTTTACAAACTAAAAAATAAAAATTTTTACAGTAACCTTCGAGACCGCCGAGTTACCATAGCATTAGATATTTTATGCTTTGTTATTACCACTGAAAGCAACAATTTCCTAGTTTGTAAATATTAAAATTGTAATAACTCTTCGCTAATTTCCTAGAAAACTCATCGCTATAAAGCATATGGCGCTGTGCTTGGTTCTCTTCAAACAAATCATTCATTAAAAACAAAAAAGAAATTAGAAAAAATTTAAAAAATCAAAAATTTGCTAAAAGATATGTTCGTTAGGAAAAATATGAAATAATGAAAAATATAAAACTAATGGAAATTTGAAGTAAATAAGCTACAAAATTACAGAATTACGAATGAGAAAAAATCCAGTAAAAATAACGAAGCGACTTCATCTAAGCAAAATTCAAGCAAAACGCTAAAGCACGAAAAATATGAATGTTAGGGTAGTTTAAAGGTGTAATCAGCTGTTAATATGGAATAACAAAACTGCTTTCAATATTTTATTCCTCCTCCTCCGAACGAATGAATGAATGAATACATCGAATTTTCATGAGGTCGAAGAAGGAGTTCGAGCTGCTGTTGGCTCATCTAATGACGATATTTCATCAAATTTCAAATAAAATACAGTTCAAGTTGCCCGGTTCACTTGGATGTCAATTATGTGATCCATTTTATTCAGCTCATAACGATTTTCTTGCACAACAGCGCTCGTCTAAACGACGAAGCACTCGCAAAACCAGATAATCAGTTCCATATTCATATGGTACAAATGAAAAGGCATGAATTTTAATGCATGAATTTTAATGCATAAATTTTTGGTGACCGGTTTATGCAAATCATTGAAAAACTAAAGAATAGAGTTGAAAGATGTTAAATCAATTGTATTGAAAAACTACGGAAAATTTTCGAATTGAATGGTACTTGCTATTGTATTAAATATATAATTCAGTTCATCACGGTCTATTTTTAACAACTTCATTATGATTTTGACTCAATTTAGTTGGCTGTTTTATGTTATAATAACGATTTTGTCAGATATCACAGCGATAAGGATTTTTTGAATGACATGGCATCCATAAAATCAGCCAACAACTTTAAATTCAGTGTGGAATAGATAAGCTAAAAGCATGGCAAATTGAAAATCAAATTTATTTTTTGTCATTGAAGAGGCATTCATTTCAACAGAACTTGAACCAAACATGATTTATAACCGCTTTATAATTTTCCTCTGCTGAGAGTAGAACCTGCATTGGCGCTCCGAGCAGCAAATAGCCACATCCATTTATCCTTCATTGCCCTTCCCCGTCGGATCGACTGGTGCGCCGACGGATTCGAGCCCAAACCTCAGTTCTCCACGGCCTACCATTGAGCCACCGACATGGAACCTCCCATCCTCTTATTTCTGGTAGAAAAGTTTCACCTTAGTGCCGATTAGTCAAACTGCAAGTGCTTTAGCGAAAGAGAAATTGAATCCAAAATCAGTACCGCGATATGGACAATCGAAATCTTCATTCAACGTTCTTTTCGCGATATTTCGTTGGTGGAGAAAAACGATAGAATTGTATGCACACGAGGCAATGAAAACGCTTCAAAAAACATAATAAAAACTGTAATAGAATCGACGCAGATAATCCAACAATATTTTACAATCAATCACTGAGAGGTGACAAATTTAGTCAAAAAAAACTAACGAAGCACGGTCGTCGACGAAATTCATATTCGTTAAAACCTTTTCGAAAATTCCGAGTTTTCTCAAATAAACTTTTCTCTTCCTGAAATATTACCTTTAACATCTATCTGTTTATTTATACTTCAAATTTCAAGCCAGAAAAACAAACGGATAGGAATTTTATTATTTTTCGGAGTTTGGAAAAGCTTTCCACCCATTGTTCAATAAGCAAATGCCAAATATCAAATATTTTTTTAATTTATATTTATATATACATATTGTATAATTATATAATTTATATATATATATAATTTATATACAAATTCATATATAAATATATTTATGTATATAAATTATATTTATAATTTATACCCTACCCACATATTTTCCCCCTCGCTCTCCAAATATCCTTTAAAATTATCATTAATTTGAAAAATTCAAAAAATTTTCTAAAAATTTTCATTTATATTTATTTCCATCATGCTTACGAAGTTTTCACATGTAAAATTTCTGGAAAATTTGATATGCCAAAAGCCAAAAGAAGCAAACAAAACAACACTACGGCTGAAATAAAATCAGACTAAATAAAAGAGCCTTATCAGTCAAACAGTTTATCAAATTGATAATCGACAAACATCCTCGAACCGTCCTCTCTTTTCTACTTAGTACTAACTCGATTTCGAAGGAAAACATTAAATTAAAACATTTAATTCATTTAGTTTACATACTCTGACCAAATAAATGCATAAATTTATTCACCGCAATAAGACATTAGCATTTTTAAAATATTTTTTTAGAAAAAGAAATGATAATAGTTAAAGAATAACAATATTACATTTAAACAGTATACAATGATTTAGAATTTGAATAAATTTAGACATCACTAAAATAAGATTTTATTTTAAAATCTAAAACGAACTATAGGAATATTTCATCATTTTTTTATTTAAAAAAACGCATAATTTCTGACTTCATTAGCTTCATTGGCCACTAATGATCCATTCAGACAACAGTGACCCACCAATATATATGCGCTTCCAGTAGGCAATCGATCAATATACAAATAATGCCTAACAAATAATAAAAAAGCATGCAAAAAAACTAACAATTTCACTAATAAAAAAACTAATAATATTTAATACATTAATATATTTAAAACCTACTATAAAAAATTAAAAATTAACAAATTTAATGTATAAAAATTTGAAAAACGGAAGATGACTGAAACAATTTCAACTTTATATTCGAGACGATTAAAAGGGCAGAGGGGAAATTTAAAATTACTGAAAAAAAACAATCGCTAAAATCATTGAAAAATCACTTTTGGTGTGGCACATCATTTAAAACAATTTATATATTGCATATAATTTGAAGAATTCCTCAAGTAAATAGTACAAAAAGAGAGAATGAGAACAAATCGTAGGTAAATCGTATGTATATGAGATGAAAATGCAAATTAGCCAGAAAGATAAGAGATTTCATAGAATTGGTTACAAACTTGTGAACCAACTGGAGCATCGATATGCTATAATATTTTGCACCAAATATCATTTCAGATCATTTATTCCCAGAATCCAATTAAATCACTCAAAAAAATCTAACAACATTAAAATATACAAATATACACTACATAAAAATATACACTACCTGGCAAGACTAATTATAAAATAATAAGACTAATTATATAATATTTATAATTAAGCCAAATGAGAAAACTACTTTCAGTGAACCATCTTTCGTGTTAACTGTATAATTTTTCGCGGCACATCACTATCGCTAGTCCAACAGATGTGAAAATCGAATTTATTGCGATTCTTAACATAATCTAAGAATCCTGGCACATTACCACCGACTCCAAAATAATAAAGCTTTGCGGCGATCAATCTGAAAAAAATAATTTTAAAAAAATAATTCAACTAAAGATTATAATTTAAATTTTAAATTTTTAATTTTAAATAAGTTAAAGAAAACTGTAAAGTTACTGAACTGGAAATTAACAAAACACTAGAATTAACACAAAAATTAAATGATGAATAAAAGAAATATTAAAAGATACGAAATGAAAAAAATATAAAAAATGAAAAATCAAAGCGATCCAAAAATTTACATAAGGCCATCAGGCTTTAAGGCAGTATCGAGGAGATCGTGAAATTTCCCATACATCTGTTCATTATATATAGTCTCAGAGGAAAGAACGATATCAAATCTATAAAACTTAACCTATAACAACAAACTATGAAAAATATTTTGCTGAAAATATTTTAACCAAATCTATTTTAATATTTAGCTCTTATCCAATCCAATTCACTATTCATAAAAATTTAGATAAAAGTTCAAAGGCAAGAAATTTAAATATACTTTTGATCACCGAGATTTTCTTTGAATTCATTCCAGTCGCCAGCAAAGAATCGATATTTACCAACTTTTACATTATTTAGTGCAAAATTGTCCTTCGTGAAACAATCAATAACTACTTGATTCTGAAAAAAAAGTAATTTGTAGTAAAGTAAGTTAGTAAAAATTTTGATGACTTGACTATGAGGTTTATATGAATTACGTACCTAACCAGAACTCGCGAAAAAAATTCTTTTTTATCATAGTTATTTGAAAAAATAAAGAATAAAGTGAAAACTATAAAACTATTACTTTGGTTTTAAAAAAATCATCGAAATAACCACTGTTATAATGCTTTTTTAGATTTTAAATAATTTATGCAAAGCAAAAACCAAAACATGTAACAAAAAAATGTATTTCTTACAAAATCTTGAGCGAAAACTTCTTTCGCACCCTTCTGTAACGCTAAAATTGCTGGAAGACCTGCACCGCAACCAATCTACAATAGAAGAATTATTATTGTAAGATTATTACAATAATTTCATAATTTCAGAGGAATAAATGTTTCTTTTCAAAAATTTTCGTATGGAATAAAAACTTAGAAATTGATGTTCTCAGAAATTGGTGAAAAAGTGGGAAATTTCTGTGGCAACAAGAAAATTAGAAATAAAATAATCTTACTTCGAGTACAACTTTATCAATAAACACAACTTGGTCGGGCGTTGAATCAATATAATTACACAAATCAACGCATCCTTCCCAGATTTTTAATCCGCCTGAAAAAAATACATCGTTTTAGCGCATTCACTGCACTGCAGGAAAATGAATAAATGCCCGGTACCTTCTCAGCAATCTTCCGAACTAAGAACAGTGGTAGCCGCGCTCGACAACTATAAGCTTCCAAGTATTCAAACAAAGCAAACAAGAAAAAACCTTCATAAACTCGAGGTGACAAATCCGAATATGACACATTCTTAAGCGATGTATCATTCTTATAACCGCGCTCGTTGATATTCTTCTCGATTTGCTCATTCGATAAGTAATAAAGTTTGCGTTCCGAAATAAGAGTCAAACATTCAAATGCACCACTGTGTGTTTCCATTTTGCTATTCGCCATTCATACTAAATAAAAACAAACGAATTAGGCGAACTTTTTCAAAAAATCGAACTTAATTTGCTTCAGTGATTCAAAAAAGAAAAGAAACTGCGGCACAGGATGGCTCACTGCTGCTCAATTCGACTCCCCACAGGAGCAAAGTCGTCCAGAAATCCAGGTGACGCTGGCGACTCACCAGTACTTCTATCGACTCCTTGACATATACGTCTAGTGCGATAAGACGGCGGAACAAGTCTAAGCAGTAATGGTGAGGGTAAAAAAGAAATAGGAAACTGATTGCGCCACCTCCCTTGGTACCACTTGTGGAGCAAATAAAAATTAAAAGACAAAATAAGATCCCCACCCCAGCTTAATTCAAAAAGTGTCGGACAATCCCCTCTATACTCTTGTCTTCTAAAAAATTGCAAGAACCGGTGGCCCGGTTGTCAACGCGGCCCAACGAGTAGAATATGCGGCCCCCTGTTCTAAAATTTTCTGACTTGAACGAGCTCCTCAAGCTAAATCAAAAAACCTTATTCGACTAAAATTCCTCATCAAAACACTGAACTTCTCACCAAAACCGCAGTAGTACCACTGAATCGCAGTAGTACTTCTATTTCTTATTTTTCATCAAATTCTTCAAGGATCGCATAGAAATTTATTATTTCCACCTAAGGGAAATGAAAAAGGGCCTTAAAAAATGATTTGGCTGGAACGAGCGAAATAGCCCGCGGCGATGCTTTCCAGTAAACAGTTGCATGGAGTCGGCCGTCCGTCCGCCTATCTGGTTTCGCTTCCTTCATGAAAGGCGCCTTCTGTTCGCCCATTTCACTATTGCAGTGTAAAGATTCAGCTGTATAATGCGATATAATCCACTAAAAAATAATAAATTGCTTCCCGAATCCTTTATTTCCTCGAACAATAATTATAAGAAAATCGTTAAATGCAGTAGATGATTTTTATTTAAAATTCGTAAAAAAGTAAATTTTTTAAATATTTTATAAACAATTTTTATTCGAATAGTATAAATTGAATAGTAAATGAAAATTTTAGACGTGCAAATAAAAATCACAACTGTGGAATTCGCGAAGTTTAGAAGTTTGGAAGAATGATAACCTCAGGAAATCCCCGTTTCACCATATTTCACCAAACTAACCGCATAGATTAATCGAGGGATTAAACTTAGAGTAAAATAAAGGACCTTATTAACGAATCACCCGAAGTTTACAGGAAAACCTATTTCGAAAAATTCGATATATTGCGCTAGGGACCCCTCAGTGTCTTCGATCCTTAAATGATTAGCTGCCAGAGGGTGCTATCCTAATAGCGAGTAAAACTATCCAAGCCAGAAGTGATGAACTCTACCAAAAATAAAAGCATTTATTGGCGAAGAAATCGTAGCCCGAAGAAAACTCAAGGAAATAGGCTTAAATCCATTTTCAAGTGAAGTCGCCAGTGATCATTAAATTATTCGCCTCCATGGCTTGAAATTGCGAGTTTTCTCCGAGGTGATATGCAACTAGTTACTGGATTCGCTGGCCATTCAACATTTGCCTGAGGATTCTCTGAAATTTTTTCATTGGCAACCGGTTAATTGATCTCATTAAATTCCATTAGATCTTTCCTAATTTAACTTTATTTGCATATTAATTCAAAAGACGAACATGCCAACCAATCTTCACCATTGAAAATTTTAGACCAAAATTTGAAACTTTGAAAATTCCTTTAGATAAATCAATTCATGAAATTACAGCCAATGGAAAAGAAAGAAAAAAGCGAGAAAGAAATTGGAATCTCTAGATTTCACATAGTTTGCAATTCTTTATTCCTCATATTCGGGGAAAGCATTTAATTAACGCAGCGAAATCCCAACCGGTTTCTCAGGTTCATATCATTCCAAATCCATATCATGGAAAAAAATGGCTGAGTGATTAGCGTCGAGCATAACTTCGATTCCCTACTTTTCGATTCTCTAGAGAGAAATTATGCTATTCTTAAAATATTTACGCGGTGAACCACTTTTATTTCTAACACCGCTGGAGCTAACAAGTGGCTGTCCGACAAAAATTTCTCACCATGCTTATGGCCACTGGAGCTACCATAGCCTCTAAACATAGTCCATTTTTATATGACGTCAAATACTCCTGTTACGCCAATCTGCTAGTGCCATCATATTATAAAATTGCAAATTTAAGCAAATATGTTCAAAAATGCCAAAAGCGTAATCAATAATCAATAATAATAATTTGTTCCATGCGCTTATCAAAAAAATTAAAAAAAGAAAGCCACACAGTACAGCCAAATTAGTAAATCATCAATATAGATTAAAATTTATAGTTTACGCAGATTAAATATCTATATAAACATGCCTATATAGTCTTTTCAAAAGAAAAGAATTTAAGAATTTCTTTATTTCTATTGCCTTAATCATCAAGCAAAACATGACCTAAGCATAACAAAATATTCCAATGTTCCAGTCATTTTTCCAATATTTTTATTTTATAATATATTATAATATAATAATTATACTTATAATTATAAATGATTGATCTGAAGTCCAATTATAATTTGATTTAACAATAATAACAATAATAATAAATCTTACCATGTTACAGGAATAAATTACAGGAAGTTATCGTAAAATATCGTAAAATATCACAGTTTACAATGATATAAATGAAAAAAAGTACTTCGGGAAATAAATAAAAAATTAAGATAAGAAGAAGAAAACAAAGACCAAGTAAAATCTCCGTTTTCCAGCTAAATGACATTTTATAAAAAATTTTCTGATCTAATCTTATCAAAATCTTAATTTTAATCATAAAGGTGCAGCAGCACACTATTGCAAAACTTTTATAATCCAAAATTGGCAAAAAACTAGGATAAATCAACGTTTCTTCTTTAACAAAAACCAAAGATAAAAAATATTCCAAAAAAAGCAAAACCCTTCAAAAGTTGAAAATACCGAGCTGAAAAATAAGATTTAATAACCAGCAGTGATCCCAAATGAGAATAGTAACAGTATGAGAAACTTTTGGCTTTATAAATTAATTTCAGGGAAAAAATAGAAACGCATGCGAGATTTGCCACTTAATTTCGTGGAATCATATAATATTTTCTGATTAAGTGGCAAACCCTATAAAATTTACAGGCACAAATAAGAATGGAAAACCAGTGGAAAAAGCGCCAAGTAAAAAATTTTCACATCTTAATAAAAGGAAAATTTGAGAAAGACTACCTAAGAATGCAAGGTACGCTCGGACAAATGAGAAGAAGCTAACAAGTTTTGTACAGTATTAGTCACCGTACCTCCATACCACCTGCTATTTCGCTGCTCTTCTTTCGCTATAACGGCTTTTAACTGGTCATCGCTGAATTTCGCTACTGTCGCTATTACACGAGCCAATGTCTACGAATCATGAGATTAACTAGAAAATTCAGAACTTCTAACACTTTTTACCATAGAAAATGAAAAAAAGGCGGACTTAATTTGACAACATTAATTTTAAATCAAATTTATTAGCTTACCACACTTTCCCGGCCCAATGTTTCTCGCTCGTTCATGTACCGATATAGGACATTGCGCAAATACTAAAAATTAAACAAATAAAATAGTTGGCATAATTTCACAAATTATAGAATTTGCAGGCATGGAACTACCAAATTCAAGGACCAAATTAAAGAAATTTTTTTATAAAAAGAAATAAAAACAAACTTCTGCTTCTGTCGGTTCGGCAAAATTTAGCGCATAATCATGACTAAGATTTTTTTGTAGAAATTTCTAAAAATAAATTTGCTCATTTAAAAATTGTGCAGAGGAAAACAGAATTTTCATTAAATGAAAATAATTAATAAAATATTCCTTTTTTCTGATCAAACCAAGTAAAAAAATTTTTTTCTAACCAAATTAAACGAAAAAATAACAGTGATAAAAATTAAAAGTAAAGCCAAGCGCGATAAAAAATGGCATTTTCGAAAATTATATTTGCTTTTACCTTATTAGCATTAACCACTCCATCTGGCCATTTGATTGCATTATTCACCACATCGGAACTAATAATTTCTTGGCGAATTCGAGCCATTTCATCTCTAAGCGATGTAAATTGAATTATCATAATAAGAAAGTCACATAAAACTGAAAAATAAATATTTTGTCGAATTAAATTTTACTTGTGGGCGGCCTTGAGTTGATCAATTTCATTTTGATATTTTACGATTCGTTCGCGAAGTGATTGCAATTCTTCAAAATCCTACAATAATAAATTGTTTGATTTGATTATGAAAAAAATTATCGATAAGTTGAATGTTATACAATTTCCTCCTCTTCCTCGGCGCTCAATCGCCGTTCTTCTCGCTGCAAATCTGAATGCGAACTGTCTTCTTGATCCTGCTCTACAGCACGTTTTCCCAATGAACGAAATTCCTAAAAAAAGAAAAAAAAATTTCAATAATTATCCAAAATTGATCATGGAGCAATTGCATGGAATAAAGTGCTTTCATTTTGGAGTGCCATTGCTAGGATTCTATTCGAGGCAAGAGCAATCCTATCTTTCAGAAATCCTGGCGATTCACCTGTACTTCCTCGAGAAGTGGATCTTATAAAATTTGTCTGGTATGACAAGCTACGAGCTTAACCATAAATGAAGAGTACTCTTAAAAAATGGAATTGCTCATGATAAATGCGACATTGAGAGGCTATTTGTCTTTCGCTTTAACGAAAATTATTATTGCAAAGAAATGAAAAAATACTATGAAAGCGATTGAATTAAATAATAAAACTGGTAAGGATGGCATAAAATCAAGGCTTTACCTCGACTTCAGCAGTGACTTCAGCCAACTGCTTCGTCCGCTCATTCAATTCTTGATATAATTGCTTGATTTCTTTTTGAAGTTCACGCACTGTTCGATGCCTTTCATTCTCAGCTTTAGCTAAAAATTAATTAAGTAAAATGTATTTGAAATATTTATTTTAAACCTGATAATAAATAAATCTCATTTCATTACACTTAAAAACCTCAAAATTTATTTACTTTCACGAAAAATATACTCACTATGAGCTTTTATAGCATTATCTTTTGATTGTTGTAGTTCATTATATTTTAATTGTAATTGTTCAATTTTCTCATTGTTTATTTTCAATTCTTCCAGTAATGATGATCTTTCCTTTTTGAGACTTAACAGTTCAGAATTTCGTTCCAAATCATCTGCGCTCCTCTTTTCGAGTTCGTTTAATTTACCTGCAATTTTATTAATTCCCGATCATATGAAATAAATCTTCTAACAGCTCTCACCATTACTGGAAAGGCTGGCTCCAACGGCTACAAGGGTAAGACGCTTCTAAGCGGCGCGGTCTGATGCCATTATCGACATTAATGGAAGCCATTCCTTTTTCCATCGTCTAAGTCCATATATTGTGCTGGTCCACCTATACGCTCAAAATCTTTTCTCATCGTATCAGTCTAAGTCTTGATTGGCACCTCGCTTTTGACGCCAACCGTCACACCTTTAGCAAATAACGAAATATGCGTCAACTCCTGTGGTGGACGGCGGAGAATGTGTCCTAACCAGCGAAGGCGGCGCTTTGTGATAACATAATTTATGCAAGTGGTATTTGAACGAAGATGGATGCGATCTTGTGATATCTTATCAGCTCGACGAATCCGTATTATGTTCTTAGATAAGAGTGGTCAAAGGTAGATAACTTCTTAATATCCTCCACTTTCATTGGCCATGCCTCAGAAGCATTAGCAAGATCGAACGGATCACGGCGATATAGATGCGGACTTTCGTTTTTATGGTGATTTCACGGCGATTCCATAAAGGTTTCGTCAATCGGAAGAACGCATTTCTAGCTGCCGTGATCCGAATTATAATATCATCTTTTGCCTGTCGTCCATTTGGTATTAGAGTGGACCCAAGGTATTTGAAATCAAGCACTTCCTCAATCGGCAATGAATGTACAAAAAGAGCCATTTTATCAGCTTCTTGCACATAAGACGAAAAGGCTTTCGTTTTATTTACATTGAACCTGAGTCCGGTTCTTGGTGCAGTTTCTGACACGTTATTTAGTATTACTTGCATTTCGTTAGCAAAAAGGACTAGATCATCAGCGTATTCAAGATCTGTGATACGATGCTCTGGACTAATTTGGACACCTCTTGAATACCGACAAGCAGTTTCCATTATCCAGTTTAGTTGAATATTGTGTGGGAAAGGACGCATCCCTGACAGACACCTGTTCTTATTTCGAAGGAGTCTGTCGGTTCCGCATATTCACAGACCTGCATTCATAAAATGCCTTTATGAGTCGAATGATCTTCTCTAGAACACCGTCACGTTTCATCACCCTCCAAAGCGCTTCTCTATCAACTTAATAAAAGGCAACCGCAAAGTGGATGAAAAACGTGACAGTGGATTGCAAATATCTGAAACGATGTTTCAGTATCCTTCTTAGCGTGAATATCTGGTCAGCACAACCGCATCCTGGTCTGAACCCAGCTTGATTAGGGCGCATCCTGTTGTCCCATACTTCCATAAGTCTACTGAGTAAAGGGGAGGCAAAAATTTTCTCTGAGACGTCTAGTAGGTTGATTCCTCGATAATTGTCGCAGTAAGTCCTATCACCTTTCTTGAGAATTGGGAGCAGAATTGTTTTGCTCCAATCATCTGGTAATATTTCTTTTTTCCATACTAAAGAGTACTTTTGTTGAAGGTGTATTATGAAGGACGATGGACAGCATTTGAAAAGCTCAGCCCGAAGACCATCTTCTCCTAGAGTTTTGTTGGCCTTAAGCTTTTGGGTAACTGAAATTATTTCTTCTTTTGTTGGAGGCTCGCAATTGCAAACGTATGCTTCGGCAAACGTATCAGCTATATCAGGGACAACAGATGACGCTTCATGGTTAAGTTTGGCCTCAAAGAATTCTTTCAATCTTATGAGGCGGATTCTTAATACTTTTAATTAGTACGCCATTGCTGTCTCTTACCATTTCACTGATCGTTCCCCGAGTCATAGTTGCTTTATGAAGGCAAAATAGTTTCCTATGGTCGCCTAATCGAGCCGCCAACTCCATTCTTGAGGCTATGTCACTCCTAGAGATTTCTGTTCCGCCTTGCTGCTTTCGTTGCAAATCTTTGAAGCACCCGATAGTCAGGATCAGCTGACATTCGTGCTTTGACAGCTTTTTCAGACAATTGGACGGTTGCTTCCGATACCCAACTAGCGCACTACTAGTATGCCATAGCGTGGAAGTGGCTGATTCTCGGAGACATTCCTTTAATTCGGACCAGTATTCATTTGCCATTCCAGAAAAATCATTAATATTTGTATCATTGAGATGCTTCAATAATTCGGTTTAAAATGCGCTCACTACCTCCGAATTTTTTAATTTGAGATAGCTGGAGGAACTTGGGGAATGCTGTTTTCTGCGAGTTGTCAATTTTATGCGGATCTTGGCTCGAACCATAACAATAATGGTCAGATCGATGAAGATTGCCCGTTTCAGCTCCGCGATAGGAACGACTATCTAGTACGGAACTCTTCCAACGGCGACTGATTAGGATATAATCAATATGGTTGAAGTGTTGGTTTTCCGGGAAATTCCACGTGACTAGATGTTTTATATGATGCCGGAAGCAAGTATTAGTAACAAAAAGTTCATGCTCTTCGGCATAACATTCCCCATTGCCACACCGGTCTCCAATTCCATATTTGCCAATTGTTGAGGTCATCGCAGCTGCATTATGACCTACGCGAGCATTCCAGTCTTCCCCGATTATGATCATGTCATGTTTTGGTAGAGACTTTGCTGTTGAAGTTCCGCATAGAACTTGTCTTTATCATGATCATCTGCGACATAGTTGGAGCATAGACACTGATGACCGAGATATTGCAGAATTTACTCTTAAAACGGGCATAGGCCATATGGTCGTTTACCGGTTTCCCCTCAAACAAAGCGGAATGGGCCTTGTCAGACATAACAATCGCTACGCCATTTCGTCCCGAGTCATTCGAAGCATCACAGTGATATAGCCAGTATCTCTGCTCTCCAGGATTAATAATTGCTCTAGACCCAAAGTGAGGAAGACGGACCTTTAACAAGCAAGCGATATCCACACTATACTTAGGGTGTGGACAGTGATCGCTTGGCTTGCAACGTCCATAAATATTCTGATGTTCCACGCTGATACGGCTAATACCTCGCCGCGTGTGCAGAAGACTATTCCCCTTGATAGGTTTCGAGCAATACCATGGCTTGAGAGCACATTTTATTCACCAGCCTTGGGACCGCTTTAAGCCCCGATTGTATACTTATCGCATGTACCACCGGGCTCGAAGTATCATGTGCGTCGGGAGACGCGGACGCCGTACCAAGTCTGACCCTTTGACCATAGAGTTACTTGGGGATAGAGTTACAGATGGGTCCCCAGTAGCCACCCGGATTTTTGATATAACAACAGGTTTACTCCTGCCAAAGACAAAAAAAAAAATTAAATTTAAAGAAAATAATAAAATGGACAATGAAATTTTTAAAAAATATATATGAATATGTATATATGAAATATATATATATATATTATTTATATAATTTAATTGATTTGATTTTATTTATTTGATTTAATTTTAATTTGTTTTATTTTAATTTTAATCGTTGTTTAGTAAAAAAAAATTAAAAGTTTAAGATGATTTAGCTGAATTGTGATCAGAAATGAAAAAAAAATTCACAAAAATAAATCGAGAGTACTTTTTAAAACGACCGCTTAACAAAAAAATTTTTTTAATGAAATAAATCAAATAATAAAAATCAAATCTAACAAGTTAATTGTTGGTTTTCTATGGCCATTTTCTCCATTTTTTCGTTTATTTTATTTCCTTTATCAACTTCTATCTCAAGGCTGGCGAGCGCTTCATTTAAGGCGGATCGAGCATCTCTCAGTTCACCAGATAATTTTTCAATCTCCTGAAATTTCCATTTGATTTCATTATAGATTATACTCGATAATTTTTAAGCAGCTGAATAAACAACGACGAGCTACATATTTTATTCTCACCATTTACAATACTTGTGAAAATTTTAGTTTCAATACAATTAGATGAATACAATACTTTTGGTGCAATACATATTTTTAGATAACCAATACTAACCAAATCTTTTCCAGCTTCATCAGATTTTAACTGTTCCAATAACTTTACACTGAGCTCAAGCTCATTTATCTTCTCATCGCGTCTAGCAATTTCTGAACGGTTCTGATCCAACTGCCGAAATAAAAATATAAACACGCAAAAATTTTAAAAAAAACATAAAAATTTAACCTAGCATCTTTTCCAGTGAAACAAAATAACGCCAATTAAAAAAAGACAACAATAAAAATCAAGTAAAATCAACCTGCAGAAGCAACTCTGCTTTGGCAGCGCAAATATCAGTTTCACAATTTTTCTTCATTTTAGTAATTTTCGTTTCAGCCTTTCTTTTAATATCATTTACTGCTTGTTCTATGTCCTTCAAAAAATTAGCAAATAAAATCAAATAAATATAATTTAGAAGTCACTATTGAAATATTTTTTTACCTCTCTCGCTTGTTGAGTTTTTAATGAAATTTCATGTTTCAATTCGGAAACACTCAATGACAATTCCTCTTTTTCCTTGCAAATCAAATCAAAACTTGACAATTGCTTTTTAAGCTTCTCTCGTTCTTCATTAGCATTCTTTAGATTTGATGCATAATCATCTCTAAAACAATTAACGATAAAATTTAAAATCTAACGATAAAATTTTTCAAATCCGTTTGGTTCGTTTTTGTAAAATAAATTTTAAAATAAAAGAATTTCTTTGAATCGAATGACAAAAAACAATATAAAATATAATATAAAGTATAAAAAATTATACACAATATAAAAATTTATAAAAAATTCAGTTGAACTTGCATAACCCATAATATTACAAAAATGTTCTAAATATAATAGATTATCATATTTGACATTAAATTTCGCAATTAAAAATTTACCGAATCTTTTTTTCTTCTTTCACTTGTTTATCGCTTTCTTCTTTTATTTTAGACAATTCAAACTTCAAGTTATTCTCAGAAGTGCGTAATGAGTCAAGATCACTTTCCAGTTTATTCACCTTGTCCTGCCAAATGATGATTTGAGACTCAGCTTCCTTCAATTGTTTCTGGAAAAGATTATTGGACTGTAATAGAATTTCTTTATGGTTTATGAATGATGAAGAAGAATAACTGTATATTATTGTAAATTTTGAATACCTGTATATTATTAAAATTGTATGTAAGAGTTTCGATATGGGATTGTTTTGATAGTTCAGAAACGCTCAATTTTTCTATGCTAGATTGAAGTTCTTTTACGACAGCTTCCTAAAAGATGCCTAAACCAAAAGTTGAACTGATTAAATCTGTTTCAGTATAAATGTTTAAGTATAACTTTTAGTTCTTAAAAGAAAATTCAACAAAAGAACTTTAGATGAAATAATAAATGAGAAGAGATATAAAAATCACATCGGATCAATCACCAAAAAAATTCCTTTTATTTCTCATATAGGTATAAATAAAGAAAAAAGGGTTTAAAATGTGGAACTACGCCAAATACCTCAAATAACCACCTTATCGAGGAACTCTTTCCTAAGCTTCTCATTTATTATTTCAAGATGATTATCCCGCCATTTGATTCTCCATTTATCATTACAATTATTTTCAAGCGAACCATTCTGAAATGAATAAAAATCGCATACTGATCAAGAAAAATAAAAAAGTGGTGATGAAAATTCACATTTTCCTTGCTATGGAGTTGTTTCTTCAGTTCATCGTTCTCTTTTGTTAATTTATCGATTTGTGCCAAATTTTTTTCGAGTGAATCAGGAAGACATTGTTGTTTCGATTGCAATTCAGACTAAAAAAATTTGCAAATAATTTAAATATGTGAGATTTGCGACATCATCAATTAAAACAGAAGTGACCTCGACAGAGCTTCTTGTTTCTTTAGAAACTATGGATTCATTATGAGGTATTCCCAAAGATGAATGAGCAGAGTATAACTGCAACTCGAGATTTTCAATAGTAGAATTTTCAGCTACCAATCTCTCTTCAGAATTTGACCTTTGTAACCTGGTTGAGTTTATTTTTTCCTTATATCGCTTAAGATCCTCGTTCATCAGTGCATACTACAAGAAAATATGAAGCTTAGATCAAGGTAAAAAATGAGAAGAGATTGTAAAAATTAGCGTATTTATTACGAAATCAGATGAGAAATGTTTTTCAAACTTTAAAAAAAGCAAAATCCATTATATGTCACAAAAAAATTAAAAAATTTACTACGAGAAACTGAATCGTGTTTAGAGCACAAATATTGGCTGACCTTTTCTTGCAAAAATAACAATTCTTCTCGAAAATTTTGATTTTCTTCTTGAAGTGCGTGATTTTTTTCCTCAGCCTCTTTAAATTTCATACTTAATTCGTCATTTTCCAAACCAATGGTATTCAATTCGGCAATAAGTTGCGAAATTTTTTCGTCCAGTTCGTGTTTCCCTTCATCTGATATGGCTTTTACCTCAAAATGAACGAATGAATGACGAAAATTTTTTCAAAATCTATAAATTTTTAAATTTTAGATATAAATTTGTAGATATAGCCTTCACTCTAAAAAATGTAAAAAGTGTAATCAAATATCCAAACTATTAAATTTTAAACAGTTCTTATACAAAATTTTTGGTGAAAAATTTATATCGTTTCTATCTGTCAAGTGTTTTTATATCGTAAGTGATTTACATACACAAGTGACATACATTTTTTACTGCGGATTGAATTTCTTCAACTTCAGAATCACTAGAGGATGCATTAGACTCCATTAAAGAGGATGTATGTTGTGCCCGAGATTCTTCCAGCGTGTTCTGAGCATCGTTTAATAGACATTGATCCTCTGAATAGATTAAATTGATACACGAGATTTTGGAATAATAAGACAAATATTAATCGAAAATCGAAAAAACCATTGGTTTTATAAGATTCTTTTAATAGTCAAAATGACTTTTTAAACGCAACCTTCCAATTTTTTAGCTGCTATATCAAATTTTTTCTCCAGATCTGAATATTTCTTTTCTGCTTCCGCTCTTTCCAAACATGTAACATTTAACTGCTGCTTTAAACAGTAAAAATTAGAAAAAAATTGAAAAAGTTAATAATTATTTAAATATGGCCAAGCTTTTTCAATATCATTATGACTTTTGTATTAAAACTAATGCATTAAAAAATGGCGAAAAATAAACTTGTAAACGCTCATGCATTTTGCTACATTCTTGATTTGCAGCCAATTCCACAATTAAAATTTCGCGCTCAGCCTCAAGGCTTTTGATATTAGCAACTTTTTCTTTGATAATCATTTTAAGTTCATTCAATTTACTGTTATTTAGTTCTTCATCCCTTAGAATACTGCAATAAAACGGAAATAAATAATGGTTTAGAAGATTTTAAAAGATTCATAGTAATGGACTGCAATTCATATCTAAAATTCAAAACAGAGAAAATGGAATTGCATATGAGGTAAGCATAAATATCAAAAAAAATACTAAAAATACTAAAAAAACTTTTTTGCAAATATTTTTTAGAAAATATAAAAATTTAACCAAAGCAAGAAAAAATTTCGCAATACAAAAAACATAATCATTTACAAAAGCTACAAAATCATTTACGCAAATCTTTCATCTCCTATACTTGAATTTGTGCATCAAGGACAAAAACCAGTGACCTATAGGCTAAAAAAAGGTTGGGAAAAACTCTGTAAAAAAAATTAATAAACATCTTCTGAATATACAATTATAAAACCCGAGGCCAATTAAAGATTTTGAATTTTATCGATACGCAAACTAAAGGTGTTGATAAAGGTGTTAATAATAAAACCAAAATAAAAAACAGAATAAAATGAAATAAGATACAACAAGAAAAAATAAAAATATAAATCTGACCTTTCCTTAAGAATACCAATTTGTTGTCGTAAATTGATAAGTTCTTCGTCTTTTTCATTCAAAAATATTTCACAGTTTCTCAATGCAATTTCTTTTTCCTCCAGACGACTCGTTAAATTTTTGTTTGACTCAACAGCTTCACATAATTTCTTCTTTCGTACTTCCAACTCTTGCGAACTGAGATTCTGTAAGGTTTTTTTGATTCAATCTTTTGAAAAAATTGCAATCTAAATAAAAAGAAATTCACCGCGGAAAATAAACTTTAATCACTAACGAGTTTCTCTTCATATAACTTCTTCTCACAATCTAGTTCATATGATAATTGAACAACTTTTTTCTCCAAGTTACTAATCGTTATACTACTTCGTTTTTCCAGTTCCAGCAAATTTGACTGATATAATTCTTTTTGAGCGTAAATATCTTCATAATCCTGATAAATTTTCCATCATGTACTTCTTAATTATCGTTACATTTGTGAATGTCATTATGAAAAATTGGACTATCAAAAAATTACAAATCTACAGATTTTTTGTTTCAGTTTATTAAAAACAAACTGTATTAACAATTTATTAATAATAAGTTTTTATAATATGAATATTGCTATCGAAAAAAATGAAAAAGGAAAACCTTTTTTGTTTTAGCAATAATTTCTTCATGTTCCTTAATGAGACAACTGATTTCTTCCTTATGTCGACTTTGATTTAGCTCAATTGATTGATTAAGATCATCTATCTGATGAAGATGTGAACATTTCAAATCATCCAACGCTGTTACTAATTGAAGTTTTTCCTAGATTGATAGCTTATGAATATAGTTTTGAAAATATAAAAAAAATTCAAGAAAAAAATTAGCGACTGCTTCAATATATTTTCGCTAATTATAGAATTCTAAACTTCAGTCAAAATGGTTCAAAAATAACTGAAATAAAAAAAAAAAATTCTTTTATAAACCAACAAATTTTCATGAATATCGAATCGAAATAAAAATAAAAGAAGCAAAGTTAGAGAAGTCGGAAATATTACTGCAGTAAGCTGTTCAAGCAGTAAGCCGAGATCGTCATTTTTCCGATCATGTTGCATAACAGCAGCTGCCTTTTGCATCTCGCGCTCTTCTATAGCTAATTCCATTTGCTCCTCTTGTTCTTTGAATTTCGCTCGCCAATTATCGTCCTAAAATTTTCTGAATGTAACAATGTGTTTATCTCTGATTGATGGCAAAAAAATATTTCTTTGCGAAAGATGGTAATTGGCATAAAATATCTCCTCCATATGAATATGAGTATGTTTTCTTCAGTAGTCAGCTTCTTTATGGTGGAAAAATTGATGTAAAAAAGTGATAAAAAAGCAAACAAAAATAAAAAATCAAGCGATCGATTTGTTGAGCACTTTAAAATTCCTAAATTTATGGCATTTATTCAACCGTTTCAAAATTTAAATAACTTCAAACTTAAAAATCAAGACCAATGAATAATCTAAAAAAAAAAACGCAAAATTTTCTTTCTTCCAGAATAAATAACTAACGATTTTCTTGATTTCTTCTTGAAGTTGATGTTCATGTTCTAACCGATCATTCTCCCTTTTTTTTTCCATTTCTTCCATTAATTCCATTCTCTTTTTTTCTTCCTCATCACGTACTGCTTTAACTCCCTGATGTTTCGCTTGCGATAGCTTTTCAATCATATCTGCTTTTTCGTTTTCCAAGGCCTCTATTGTACAACGAAGTTCATCTATTTGGTGTTTTACTTCTGCATCTACAAAATCAAAAGAAATTTTACAAATTAGAGGAAAAATACGAAAATAAGGGAATGAAATAAATAGGACAAATCTACCTTGAATTTCCGATTGCTTCAATTTAACCCGAATAGCTTGCACCTCATTTTCCTTTTCTTCAAGAGCTGAATGCATTTCAGCTTTTATTTTTGCAATAGTTAATGTCGCTCTAAATTAAAAAGTCTAGATTAGAAAAAAATGAAAAATACATGAAAATAAAATTTTTCACCACAAGTAATAATATAGTGAAGGAAAATGACATACATCCAAAACAATACTAAAAAATTTTCTTCTTCTTTAATTATTTAATACCGAAGGAGACCGTTAAAATTTATTGAAAATATGAGGAACAAAGAAAAAGCAGTAAAATGGAGTGAATGGAGAGAAAATGAAAAGATTACACAAATATAAGACTCTGCGACGTTTTTCTGTGGATCTAATTAAATTAACACATTGATACATTGGGAATTAAAGTAAAATTTAGTGTTAGAAAAATGTTATTTACTGTTCTTCTGCATCACGTAATCGTTTCAACCATTCTGATTCAACATTATCTACTCGTGCTTTCCATTCAGCTGTCACTCGTTGAACTGCCAGATCACTGATACCTTGCTAAAATATGTATCATGCTAACCGAGAAAAAAACAATACTTGACAAACAGCAGAAAAAAAATCTAAATTAACTTCTTGATTCATTTGCTCCATATTTTGTTTAAGTTTCTCATTTTCTTCAGTCAACAGCCGCACTTTTTCTTTATTCTCCTTTATATTTGCTTTACATTTTTCCAATAATTCTTCCAGTTTCCTTGTTTTCATCGTTTCTTCAGATAATATTCCTTCATTTGAGAGCTAAAAGTCGGCAATTTATTAAATTATTAAATTATTATTAAATTATTATTTTAATTTATTTATTAATTTATTTAAATAAAAGTAATAAAAATAATCGCATTTTACTTATACTGAAGAGCAACAATGAAGTTGAAAGCTCAATGAGTTCAGTAATTTACTTATGTTATGCAAACTTTCACACAGAAAAACTTATTCTTCATTATCCGAAAAAAATAAGAAGCAAACCTTACTTCTTTAATTTGCTGATCTTTTTCGCTTAAAAGGCAATCTAATTGTTTCACATTTTCTAATAGTTGCCGTTTTTCATTCCTTAACTTTTCTAAACGTTTCAAAGCCTTATCTTGAGTCGAAGTTAATACAACCTGAAAATATTTTATTAAAAATATTTATTATCAAATGAAGCAAAGAATAAAATAATATAAAAATAAAATGTTTATAGAAAAAGAATAGCATCAACATTAGGCGAGAAATTTTGCGAAAAATTTCAAACACAAACCCGATACTTTTCATTTTCTCGAACCAGTTCATTGTACATCTTAATTAGATTCCTATATTTATCTTTATATCCAGCGGCTCGTCCTTGCAGTTTATGAAGTACCGACGATATCTACAATAGTTGAAACTTTAAATATTCTCCGTTTCGATGGAGGTATAGTAAAAATCGCAAATAGCGTAAATAAAGATATTTCAATTTTAAATTTCATTCATTTTATTCAAAATATGAAGGAAATTATGACTTGTTCTTTGGACGCATGAGGAATTTGGCCAGATCCAATAAAGCTTTCACTTTCGATATCTGAAGATATAGTATCCAATTTCTGTGATGTGCCAACCAAACCCGGTATAGAAGAAAAAAATGAACTCCATGAGCTGCAAATGAAATTTTTTAAAAATGAAGAAACATCTGTGAAAAAATGAAAAAAATTTTAACACCAAGTGCACTAAATATCTAATTATGAATAAATGAATGAATTCTTTCATTTTTATATAAAATGAGCATAAAATTGATCCATAATCCATAATGCCAAGAAATAAGAAATAATGTTCGAAACCTTTCATTGCTTTCAAACGAATCATTAGAATCTCTTCGTTGACGTGGTTGCATATCAGAAAACAGATCTTCTAATTCCGAAACCTGTATTATAGCTGAATTTTCGCGTCCATTTTGCTGTAATAAAAAAAAAATAATAAACAGAAATATGCATAGAAAATATCAGCAAGAATATTACAGATAATAAAGTTTAATAAAGTTCATTTTCAAGAAACAAAACTACTCGATAATTTTCTCCCATCAGAAAGAAATTCCAAAACAAAATTAAAAAGTTTCCAACTTTCATCTCTTTCTACAATTTTCGAATCGGATTTACAACTAAGTTGAAACACTGGTTGATTTCCATTTTTACCAGCGGTTACAACTTCCGGTTTTGCTTTGGCTTCTACTAGTGGTTTGGCTTCACAGCCCACTGAAATGAAACCTTTTCTCTGAACAGACGCAAAGGTGGATAATGTCGAAGATCTGACGAACACCACCCGCACCACCTCGAACGATGGGTTTATTCTCGTCGAGGAGAACAAGTCTAAGATGCTTTCAATCGAAGTAGCATTCGACCATTCTACTCTATGTTGTTGCACAAATATTTGTTGTGTTTATTTCAAAACGATGAACAAAATCACTGCAAAGATGTCATTAGAAGTATCGGCATTAGCTACGTCTGCATCGAACGTTTGCTCTGTCGGTTTGCCACCAGTAAGAAAACGCCTCGCTTGACCACTAATATCAGATAAAGTTTCCGTCTGAAAAAGATTTCTTTAGATCAATTTAGATTGTTTATTCACCTAAAAAATATTTATTTTAAAAGTTGGATAACTTTGAAACTGTAAAAAAATCCAGAGATTTTGCAATAAAAATTTGAAATTAGTACAATGATAAGAATTTTTTCCAGAATTTTCTTGAAAATATTCGAATCACATTTTCATTTTCATTCCGATTATTAGTTTGCTGTGACAGATTATCGTAACAAATCACAAACAACAAATCGATAAAACATATTTTTGCTTGAAAATGCTATTGCCACTAAACTTCATTCTTATGATTATATCAATAATAAGGTTGCGATATTTTCCCATTTTCACAAGAAAAAGAATCTCTGATCTTTTGTGGGTTGCGTTGGTTACGCTCGATCTCGGGTCCTCTAGCGGACGCCTAGGATGTTGAAGAAAGTAGATACGGTTTTAGTAAGAATTGACTAAGGAGCTCTACAGGAAAATGTAGAAAGGGTAAAAAGGCTTTGATTTGAACCGTTTTTTCTTCTTTTTCTAATATGATTACTGGTTAGGCTGATTCCAACGGCTACAGAGGTAAGACGCTTCCAAGTGGCGCGGTCTGATGCCATCGTCGACAGTAATGGAAGCCATTCCTTTTTCCATCGTCTAAGTCCATATACTGCTGGTCCACCAATACGTTCAAAATGTTTTCTCACCGTATCAGTCCAGATCCTGATTGGCCCACCTCGCTTTTGACGCCAACCGTCACAGATTTATGTCAAAAATCCGCGTTGCTGCTGGGGACCTACCTGTAACTCTATCCCCAAATGACTCTATGGTGAAAGGGTCAGATATACCTGATTTGAACCGTTTAAGAAATTTCAAAAAAAATTTTGGTAAAAAAATTTGATATGGAGCAGCAAACGATGAATTCTCGAATCAACAACAGTGATTAATTATTACTGCAATAATGAAGAAAAATAAAACAAACTAATATAAAACAGAAATTGCATCCCTTGCATTCCTTATCAACTTTTATCATAGCACGCTTCTTATCAAGTTTCATCTCATTTATCTTCTAATTCGCAAATCAAAGATGAATTAGAAAATCGATTTACTGACTTAATAGAGTAATTTAAATTATGAATTTAAATTATGAATAAATTTAAATTATGAATTTCAAAAATGCCACGTCATAAAATTCACGACTCTATAATTTATTTGCCAAAAAAGTGCATAAAAATTGGAAATAATTAGAATTTATCTCAATTTCCGTTTGATAACTAAATTTTTAAATGAAAGACTTAAGAAAATTTATTTATTTCTCAATATGGATTACAAAAAATTAATTATCCTCAAAGATAATTAAAACTTAAATTCACCGAGAAGAGACGACTAAACATTTTGGAGAAACTGCAGCAGTTTAAAATCTTTAAAGAAATAACTAAAATTATACGAACAAAACTACAAATCTAAAAACTAATTTCTCACGTAGAAAAAATTTGAAACAAAAAATCCAAATCTTCGAATTTACTAAAATATTTTAATTAAAATATATCAAATATAAATTTATTTATATCGAAATTCTTTTGTTCCAATAAACTTTCAGAAATACGCGAAAGTATGGCGAATTCTCATCTTCTCATCAAACACCAAAATCTTAATAATCATTAATCACTTTTCTTTAAAAGAACTCATAGAACGAACCGAATTGGCTCGCACTTGTTGAGCAATATTCTCACCATAATGCGAAACTGTTTGTTGTAACCGCTTTGCTTCGTCCTCCAATTTTGTTTTCAATCCTTTAAACATATCATTTACTCTGAAAATATTAAAAGAAATTAACTGAATGTGCACTGCATGAAACAAAAACTTCAGTTTAACGCTTTTCGATGATTGACTAATCGATAAGCAAAAATTATAGAATGAAAAATTTAAGTTTTTTTCGATTGTTCGAATACAAAACTTCATATTTAAAATATAAAAAAAAGCGAAAGGGATAATCGGAAAACGAAGAAGCGAGTAAATCCGATCTCTCACTGGAAAATTGATTCACCTTCTTCCCCTTCTCACAACTATTCGTAGAATTTAAATATTCTTACAAAACAAAAAATATCAAACATTATTTAAGTCGTTTAATCTAATGCGAAGAGATATTTTTCGTAAGATAAACCAGTGAATTTAAAAGAAACAGCTGATGAAATATTTATTTAGTAATGCAAACGATGGTACAAAATAAAAAACCAAACGAATTTTATTCAAATTTGCTGGTTTTTTTTTCTCGCAGACGAATAAAATAACCAGCACAAATAATCAAAAAACCACTTGAAATATAATATGATAAAGTTATCATTTCGTTCATCCAAAACAGGCCAAATTTATCGAAATTCCGATTATTGTCCCATTCCCATTTCCCATTCGTAGTAAATATTTCCATAAAAAAGAGACAAATGAAAAATTTTCAGCATTATTCTAATACCACTAAATAAAACAGTACATTAATAAAATTGCATTTTTAAAAATACAAATGCAAAAATATTCATAAAAATTGAACAAAAAAAATTGAAGATATCTTTAGCAAAATAATTGTAAGCGGAAATTTGCGCTAAAAAATTTTATTAACCTAGAAAAACTTTCTTTGAAAAAAAAATGCAAAGAAAATTGATATTTATTGCAATTTTTGCAATAAATATGAATGATTAAAATTAAATATAATTTATTACATAAAAATTTATTGTAAAATAAAATAAAAAGATCTTAGCGAAGGAATACTACGAAATACTACGAAGAAATAAGAAATGGCGTAAATGGCGTTCGTGGCGTTGAATCTCTATAACTATAAAATTCAAAATAAATAAAGCCAAGATTATAAATATGGTTCCAAATGAGCCAACCATAAAATTCTTCATTCATTAATGAAAAAAAGTAAAGAGATCGCATTTAATAGACATTTAAGGCATAATTCTTATCACAATTATATACACAAATATTTTAGATGTTACAAAAAATGAATGAGAGCATAAATGCTTCAAGAATCATTTCGAACCTTCTTTGATGGTGGCGATAATGAAATTTCACCTTCTAAACACAAATCACTCGTATTATTCGTTGCTGAAGATTTCTTTCCACATCTGTTTTCTAAATTTTCATCAAATTCGCAAAAATGATTTTCGTTATTACTGTTTAATTTCCCTTCTCTTGCACAATAAGATCCAAAAAGTAAATAAGTCTCCTTC